AGCAACTGTTAGAATACATTCTATAGGCGCAACGGGCCGTGCAGTGGTGAAATGGAGTCTCCTCTAGGCCTGATACCAAGTCTAGAGGTAAAGCCATGGTTGCTTGCTATTATACATGGATCAAAGGTCTGCGCGTGGTATAGCAGCGCGCAGCATCGCTGCTGGGGTGGGAGCGTGTGTCTCTGAAATCGCACAGCTTTTCAACTTCGGACAAAACTGATATCCTTGAGGCGAGTTTGGGATATCCCTGTTCGGAGACACTCGAACTAATACAATGACATGCCTGGGTTGAACTCGTCATTGAATATCCAACTCATCGGTTCGGTGCCGCCGAGCTCTAAAAATGGATCAGAGGCCTAGTGTATCCATGAGCAAAAGAACGAAAACCTGCAAGACAGCGATTACACTCACCATGAAGTCCCATTCCCCAGTTATGTCCGTCGGCATAGCACGGTGAAGCTCAGCTGCCACTTCCGTTGACTGGTCTTGAACAGCTGCCGCCTGTTCTAATATGGGCAGGCATTTTTGTCCTACTTCTTCGACAGCCTTGACTAACAATTCTGGTATCTTGTCTTCTCCAAAACCGGCCATAAGTCCTTGGACGTCCGCTGCGATAAGGCTTATGAGCAAGTAACCCATGACGCTCGTCTCACCGGCCTCCATCACTCTCAGACACCACTGCTTGGCTTCCTGCAGCACAGAAAGCAAGTCTGGCCGCAAGGGAGCGGGGCATATGCTGTCCTCCTGCAGTTGTGACCGGAGTTCCAATGCGATAATAGCCGCAGCATGAATAGTGGCACTTGGGTAAGAGCCCGAGCTGCATGCAATTAACCGCGGGAAATCGCTATCATTGGAGGAACTTGTATCACAGGCCTGAGTAGTTGAGGCCGGCCAGGCGGTTCTCCATAACTTCAGCGACGATTCAACCACCGACTTTTGTGAATAGGTATAAGTCGTCCCGCGCAGTGCTGGGCCAAAGTACGGAATATGAAGCGCGAAGAAATATCGGTGCATAAGGAAATCGATTGCCGTGGTTTCGTAGTGGGAAGACGATGGACTACCAGTTGACTTTTTGCACGCTCGGAGAGTTCGACCAAGCTCCCTATAAGCTGTGCGCAGCTCTGCGTCGAACTGAAGGGTCTCCTTATAAGTGCCAGAAGAACCGACGTCGTTCAGGAACTTGACCACTGCGAGGCGTTGGGGAAAGGTCCTGCGTAGCGCTATTGCAAAAGACGTCTGTGTCATTTCTTCACTTGAGCTTGATATTGGGTTATGAACCTCAAGCTGATCGTCGTCGAAATTACCGGGAGGCGATGTATCAAAGTCGTCAAGGGAAATCAAAGCGGGCCCCCCAGAAGTCAAGCTGGATTGAACGTTCACTTCAAGAATGGTGTTCCAAATCCGCCGGTGCATCTCAGCTTCAAACAACGTTGTCTGGGGTAGGTGACTTGGATCTCTATGTAGACCCATATAAATTGCTTTTCTAAGAAGAGCACCAACGGAGACCCACGGTAAATCCCCACTGACTCCAACCTGTTCTTGCGCAAACAAAAGGAGTAGATTGGTCTGCATGGCTTGAATGTTCAGCCTCGCCTTGTATTTTGGTCCGGATATCCAAATATGGGCCTCATATACCCATCGGATGGCAGATGACCGCAGCGAAAACTGGTCATCATAAGTAACCGCTCCGATTGCCAAGACTAGCTTCAATTGAATCACGAAGCTTATGTCTCTAGCTTTTCCGGGAACCCAAAGTTCTTCATATTTCCTACGAAACGTAGGAATGTGCAAAATTCGATACAGCGACTCGGTCTTCTGGAGATATTGGTGGACCAACGCATCAGAAATGGCTCGAGAGGGCAATTCGGAGGTCGGTGGTGAGGGCCATGGAGGTGCCCGTCGCGTTTTAATGTGCCTGGCTAATAGTTTGCACTTTTCTATACCGACCCAACCATCCGATGATTGTTCTCGTGAATAGGGATCTAGTATGCTGAAATAGTCATGAATCTGATTGCTTGTCAGCTAGTCCTTGATGAACTAGCGTCGGCACTCACCAGATACGCAATGCTGACAACCCAATGGCTTTGACCAAATAGGCGCGATTTGTGACTAAGATTGTGAGCAATAGGCTCAGGCTGCTCCGGTGCGCCTCTTTTGTAATGGAGACGAAAGGTTCTTCCGGCCAGGGCGAAGCATGTTGCGTGGTTGGAATCCGGAGCTGGGCCATGAACAGGCTCTGGAACCGTATGGGCCAGCTGGTCCTCAAGCTGTCGAATTCTGTGCTTTAATCGGACTGTTTCGTGATCTTGACCAAGGTTCTCGCTAGACTTCGATGCATCTGACCAGCTAGTCGCCTGTCTCTGCGATGGGTGGCTTGAAGAGCTGGATACATCACCGAGACGTATCGGTCCTTGCGACTCAGGAGTCAGATAGTGTCTTGGACTGGATGGAGAAGGGCTGGGCTCCTCGTAAACACAATTTCCTGTTCTAGAGCGTTTGCAGGTGCTGCAGGGTCTTTCTCGATTGCATCGGGTCTTGCGCTTCCGGCAGAGAATACACGAGACTATTGGCCGCCTGCGCTGTTTCTCTGGCGCGATTACGACTGTTTCCATTGTGATGAAGATTACATCTCAAGGAAATGAATATTGAATGAGTGTTTGCATAGTTGGAAGGGGAAGAGAGATGACGATGAGCTGGAGGATGAGATGATCTTATCTCCGTCGGTTATTCCCAAAACGGAAAGAAAGAGCCGAGCCGATATACTAGGTTAAGCCGAGCCCTATGAGAGGTAAAAAGAACTGCCATCCTTTTATCTATAATTCGTTTTCCTTGGAAATATCTCAGTATATTTTCATTGCGGTCTCTCTTCTACTCGTTCCTTCTCATCCATATCTTTCTGCCATAGAGAACTAGCAATTACTTACGCGGAATAAAAATATAACAAGTTTAACGCCATCCATGAGATCTTGCGAAGAAGTATTAGGGCTATTCTATAACGCTGTAAGGTAACCAATGCAGTGAATAATATCGATTATCTTTTGATCCTGCCACATTCACCAGCTCGTCAAACCCTTCAGCCGATCAAACCCTCCTCGCAATTGAGAATCAGGGTGCACCACCTTCCCCTGCAAAAGCGTATAGTTGACGACTCCCTCGCAATGTTCAGGGCGAACCCTCGCCAGCCAAATCATCTGCTGCTCCTTCTTGCGATAGATCAACACGTTCGCCGCAAACTTATGCCCACCGACGTGGGAAACATAGAAAATACCCACACCTCCAGGCCGCTCGTCATCTGCGTCACGATGCAACCCAAGGGGTCGAAGATGCCGTTCGAGTTCGCGCTTTATTAAAGGAGCTGTAATTCCGCACCGCGCGTCTCGCCGTTTATGTGAGCAGAGGAGCACAACGTAATCATATTCACACGGCCGGGATTTCAGCCGGGAGTCGGGAGGTAGGGTCGCTGTCGCATCTGAAGAACCTTTTGATAATGGGACGTCGATGAAGCGGTCAATGACCTCTGTAACATCGCCTGTGGTTACCGAATCCACGAACGTAAATGACGGCAAAAGAAGAATAGAAGTTCCGTTCCCTTTAGTATCGCTGCCTCCGTCGTCATCTGGCGACCTCAGATTTGACGCAGAAACCATCATCCGCTGTTCATTGCACTTAGTACTGTTGGCGGTAATAAGACAGGGATATCAGGTACTTACCCCATGCTTCGACCCATGGGAGCCATGAAAAGCTTCCATTAAGCTCCCACGTTCGTTCTCGACTTTCTCCTTCCAGTCTGACTGCCCTGTTGCAACTAGGACGTGCGTGTGGAACTCTTTGATATGGCCGTAGAGTGGTCGCGAGGTCTCGACCTTCACTTTGGAGGGGTATTTTATTGTGCAGTCAGCGCAGTCTTTCTTGCAGTCCGGTCCATCTTCCTTTAGGTCGACGGTGGGGAAAATGTAGTTATCGCGTTGTAGACCGGTTACGGAGAGGAGTGATCGTAGCATTGTGCGATGGGTGTCGAGTATATTAATTATCTGTGCCAGCGGATAATATTTCCTAGGTAAAAGTGAAGGGTTTGTTGAATCTGACCCTTGTTGATGGGAAAAGTAAGCTATATATCTTAGCGATGCCTCGGGGATATCTAACGCCGAATACCCCGAGTACTATCTCCGAGACAATGGACTCATTAAAAAAGAACGTCCACCATACAGTTTCTGCCTAAGATTCGGGCTAAAGAACTGTTCCAATAATAAGTGGCTGTGAACATCTCTGCCTACTTTTGGCCCGTCATCAATATGTTTTCTTTTCTCTCATTCACTGCCCTGCCTCGGAGTAACTGCTTCCGGACTTATGACGCCGCTGCCTGCAGATATACACGACTCATACGGTTGAGATAGAGCCTATACAGACTCTGTATAGAGTTGATCAGGTATCTGATAGGCAGGTGGGCATAGTCACCTATTCGAAGGTCACCTAGCTTGGTAGGTAGGATGGCTCGACACCAGCGGTCAAGGCCACGCGGTAATGGTATAGAAAGCGGCCAACAGCGAAGTAGGCACTCTAATCCTGGAAGTCAAGATTCAACAGTATCCAATACGGAGTAACTGTGGGTGACGACGAAAAGGACATGATCTGTGCGTGGCCTTTGCCTCAAAAACTGTGGCTTTTCCGCGCTGGAAGTCAATAGCTTATCACTCTAAATTAACTATACTAGATTTGGATTAGTGTACTCATACTTTATATATCCCTGGGCGCGTACATGCTAAGTATATCTAAGAATAAGTATAAAAGGCCTGTGACATTAGCCTAAAGACTTATTATAGCTATTATTATTTCCTAAATCTATAGCTATCTTATATTCTTATATATAATTAACTAGGATATTAAAAATATCCCTAGCTGATAGTAGAACTTCTGGATATTGATATCTCCGATATATATCAGAAGCACCGATATCACCGAGTACCACTATCAAGCATCATATCATACTATATAAACAGCTCCTATGTACCGAAAACATCGAGAAAGTGATTGTCAAACCACAAGAGAGCTTCTGCACGGAAGTCGTCATACTCGATAAAGGAGCCATTTACATTGAATACCATATTTTGCCCTACATTCCCACCTGCAGAGGTGTTATAGATAGGCCAAGTGGTCTCTTCATTGGCACCATTTGGATCGAGATCGGCGATCATCCTGATCCACGCCCCAGATACCTTCTTGGCCAAGGCTTTGTTTGCTTCAGAAAGAAGCGGCTTCAGTCTGTAGCCTTCGCCTGGTATGTCGTTGAAAACACATGCTACCTATTGATAATTATTAGCCATGTGTCGTTCACGAGAAAGACACCGTGGTGAGCTGGTGGAATCTTTAACTTGCCTCAAGGAAATGAGCTGCAGAAACGTTGGCTGCTATGCCATCTGGGACGGCGTCAAACCTGTAACTCCAACTAGGAATTCCATGTTGAGACCAGTAAATATTGGATTTTCGACGCCAGGCAATATTAGTTATATCGCCACCAAAAGCATTGCCCCGTCGGTCCTGGAGACCCAAATACTCTAGATCAGGTGTGGTTTCGCTTATGACTACAGGCCAGGCCTGGAGACTGGGGATGCCCACATTCTGGATGTTAGGGTATATCAATGCAATCTCGTCAACAAGCTCGTTGACACTCTTGCCGGTTGCATGTTCGACGTTGTCCGCGAAGACTGGTCTAACCATGTTCTTAAAATCATCATCCGAGTTGATGATTGTCACATTGGCGTTCCCACGAAGCCCCCGAAAATAACCACCTTCATCTGTATTGGCGCCGATCAAGATCGGAACTTTGACGAACCTCCCGTCCCGGAACTGGTTTGTTGGGTAATCTTGGATGAAATCGCCATCCATCACCGGAGCCCACTGCGCAATCCCAGATACATTGACGGCGTGATTGATCTCATCGAACGGCGCATTCCTGAGGCAGGGAATAGTAGCGGAGGTTCCCACAGTGCCGGCACAGGACGTATTCAATACAAGTCGATCAAATAGATCTTGGTCAGCGACAGTGCTGTTAAAACCACCAGGATGGAATCGAGGAATGCGACCCCCAAACCCAGACTCCCCAATAGCCGCCCGGAAAAGTCCATCGTCACGACCTGACATTGCTGTTAGTTTACACTGCTAGTGGAGCAAGTGACATAAACAGTCCCAATTTCTCACCATTGTAGGCTAATATCTGAGCCGCTAGAGCTTCAGCACCACAACTCTCGCCTACGATAGTCACCTTTACTGGATCGCCGCCAAATGCAGCTATATTTTCGTTGATCCAGCGCAGGGATTGACGCATATCATGATACCCAAGATTGACAGCGCCAGCCTCCATAGCCTCCTTGCCCATAAGCCAACCCCACACCGAGAGGCGGTAGTTAATGGTAACACCGATAAATGGCTTGTCCATGTTGACAGCATCTCGCACGGCATAGCTGTAATTGTATCGTTTGTCCGAGCCTCCACCTTTGGCAAACCCCCCTCCATGGATCCAAACTGCAACTGGTAGTCGGGAGGTGTTGGTAAGATTAGCCGGGCGAACAATGTTAAGGTAGAGACAGTCTTCTGACATGGGATAACCAGACCAGTCTGCATTCGGACCGGTCCAATCAATACCATAGCCCCAACAGTGCTCCTTGTATTCGGTGGCAGGTAGGACTCCGTCCCATGATTCATTGAGAGGTTCAGCCCGGGAGAAGCGGACTACTTTCTGCAGAAAATCGGTCACTGGGCTTTACCAAAAAGAATTGGCAGCAAAAGGTACCTACCTGAGCATATCGAATACCTAAAAATACATCTTGGTCGTATGTGGGTACGTGGCGACCACCATATGTCCCGTTCTTTGTATTGACAGTGGGTCCGGAGTATGAGATGGAACCAGCAAGCGTAGCGCGAACCAGGTAAGCTACACCCAGGAGGGAAAGAAGATTCATGGCGGCTATGCATCAAATGGAGATATACACTAGACTTTGGTGCTGTATTATGCACCTTCTGGGGTGTGATCTATATCCACAGTTGTGAGGAGATAATATCTAGTTGCCGGCCATCGACGCTCGGATACTAGATCAGAATGTATGAGCTTATAGCTCTCAAGCGCAATATTGCCGACTTGATTATATCTAAGGGTATAGAGATATTGTAGGCTTCAAAACGTGGGTACCAAGTACTTTTGATGAGATGTAGAGCCTAGTGACTTAAGCGACGGTGAGAATCTTGGGCTGCAGTAGCTAAATACCCTCAATGACAATGACTTCGAACAATTCTAGAGTGGGAAGTATAATTTCACCATTATTAACCTCCAACTCCCTGTCAACATATAGTGCGCGTGCTTTGATATTTTCGCGTATCACGCTGATCCTCCCACCAGATATAGGGATGTGAGAACCAAAGTTTTGTTTCCTAGCACCCGACATGTTGATCAGATGCACGACGACGTTAGACCCCGAGGTGTTTACCGTAATATTCACCTGCTCTGCGATTTTACACGAGAGTATTTCCTTCGCGCCACCCTCCTCGCTGAGTATCTCCCCAAAAAAGTCTCGGTATACGGACAGCCCGAGATCGCGATATCCGCGCCCGACAGTGAAGGGGATGACAACCCCTCTACCACGCCCGAAGGTCCCGGTTGCATATCCCCTTTGTTCGACTTGTGTGTTACCGTATGCCTTTTCTGGAGGGGAGAATGGTGCATGGGCGAGCAATTTGTAGGCTCCTCCAGTGCCGGTCTTCCATTCAAGCAAATGATGTGCGCCATAAACGGGAACAAGAGGACCTGTATATGTATGCTGGTGTTTGTCAAGTTGGGGGAGTGCAAAATATGACGACCACAGTTGCTCACGTTTGTCATCTAGAGCAAGCCGTCGGGAGAATGGAAGCGACCTGAGCTGAGCCGTGCCCTCATCCGTGATACCACTAGATCCAGTTGTGACGAGATGTCCGCCAGTAAGCACCCAATTGTCAAGGACAACAGCTGTCTCTACTTGGAGGGCGCCGAGATTAGGTAGAATAATATCCTCGTATTTCGTAAGCCTCCCATTCTCGGCCATTGCCACCACATGCTCCAGTGCAATGATGTCGAAGAGTACATGAGATTCCTGCATCGATAAGTAGAGTCCTTGGTATTCGGAGAGAGCCTGCTGGTATTGCTTTTCTGTCATATGAGCTCGATAAGGGCGTACCAATCCGGTCTTAGAAGAAGGTCGCAGCCCGTTGTAGACGTCTCTCCATTTCTTGTGGAAACGGGATATCTCTCTCGCGGTTTCTAGGCACAGGTATGGGATCAGGCCAGGTGTGCCCATCATATACGTCGAAGGATTTCCGCCCCTAGAGATACACTGGAGAAGGTACTGTGCGAAGTGAGCGGGCTCCTCGCTGGCCATGCGGTAGGGCATATCTAGGAAACACGTCGAGTTGACTAGCACAGGCACCTCTGGCCGATAGGACATCCATGAACTGACAGTTTCCGACGTAGTATAATGCCAGAGCTCCCGGCCAACAGCGTTGTTAGCCTCATGGAACATGATGTCGGCAGATTTCCCGAGAATTAAGCAGGCCATTGGGAGGCGCTGCGCTATGAATGTGCGCACTCTGTCGGTGATCAGGTCCAACACTTCCCGGCTAAAACTAAGCCACCGGGGATAGCTGCCATCCTGGGGCTCTTTAGGCAGTTCTTCTCCACCGGAATACTTAAGCCAACGGGCTTTGCATTCAGCGCAGTGGCAGACTCCGTGATAGCGCTTATAGTAATCTTCCTCGTTCATCGTCGTCCAGTTTATGAAGAAACCATCGAATGGGTACCACTTGACGACCTCTTCGAGAATGTCGAATATCCGCTCTTGGTAGTAGCCTCCGCATGGGCATACGGACACGAGGTCCCCGGTATGTCTTTGCATTTCACCGACGGGTGAGACATAACACCATTCGGGGTGCTCCTTCGCCGTCTCCGCGCTGACCTTGGAGAAGTCCATTCGTGCCAATAGACGTATCCCCCTGGAGCTAGCAGCAGCAAAAGCATCTGAGATCAGATCACCACTCTGTCGTTGCGCAACCAATGGGTTCTTGGCGTGAAAAGGTAACTCCGTTGGATATTGCGCCTGGATTCCGCCAACGCCAATGAGCCACGCATCAGCTCCGAGCTCGTGGATGTAGCTAGCAACCTTTTCGACATCCATATCCACATCAACTTCGCGCAAGTTGGTCTGGAGCATGCTGAATGGCTTGCGCCACCATTCTTTGGTGTTGGAGCTGCCTGTGTCTCTCATGTTTGTCGTGTTGGGACTCGTGAGATTCAATCAAGGAGGCTGAGAGAAAACAATAATTAGCCTGGAAACCACGCAACGCCCAGTTTATTATATCCATAGCTTGCTTACTTATTATGGCCCAGGAATCACATGGCGCATCCCCGTCGGAAGATGAGGCAGCCACTTGGCGACGGCTAGCATTTTCACGGCTATTAGACACGCAAGCATTTGATACCCGGCTGCTTCGATCATCTCCTATGGTCCACAATACATTGAGTAGGGGCTAATACGTGCCTCTGATGGACGCGGTTAATATATCAGCCAAAAAAAAAAAAGTCTCCGGAAAGTTCCTGGAAGTGAAGTTTTATTCTGCCCTTTCAAGCGACGAGATTCAATATAAAACCCACACAATCACGAGAGAGGGCTCTTCTTTCATCATCTTCTTTATAGGTTTGCAACCTACAGACCTAAATAATCAGTAATTCATGTTTAATTTCGGTGGTATTTACGAAAAGATGTCCTTCATGAGCATCCCCTCGCGGTAAGCCGTCAAAGCACCCACTCTGAACATGCCAATCCTGACAGTGAAGGAGTAGCCTCCGGGGCAAGACTGGTTGGTCTGATTGGATCAATAATTATTTCAGAAGATTTTCTCACCTTTTATAGCCCTGATAACCGGAGCATCATCTGGCATTGGTGCCTCGACTGCTGTCCTCTTCGCCAGTTGCGGAATGAATACTGTTCTGACCGCGCGACGAGCTGATAAGCTGGCCGAGGTAAAGGAGAAGTGCCTTGCAGCATACAAAGATTCTGGAGCCATTTCTGATGAGAATACTGTGGTTGTTATCGAGGCCGATATGTCGAGTAAGGTGGATGTCGAACGGGTAGCGGCAAGACTTGAGGGCAGGAGACTTGACATGTATGTTAATGCAGGTTGGATAATACTTGCCACAAGGCTGACCGGCGCGAAACTTTATAGACTGGTCAACAACGCTGGAATGGTGCGAGGAAGGGAACATGTTGGTGGTAAGTCTATCCCGCTTTTACGCTCAGGGATTATGTCCAACTGAGCCTTTGCAGATATTGGTAAGATTGGCATGGTGAACACTTGTTTCCGGGTTATTTTCTAATAGTTATGCCTAGCCGACGATGATATTGATGCAATGGTACAAACGAATGGTGAGATAGGCATCCTTCCGTACACTGCTTATCTGCCCTACTGATCGTGCTTAACTACATCTGGATATTAGTCGTCGGCCTCATTCGATTAACCCAGACCGTCGTACGACAGATGAAAAAGCAAGGCGCTGGTGTAAGTGAACGACCACCTCCCAGCCAAAATTGTACCATGAAATGAACTTTAGGTGTGTATAGACGATTATCAACCTCGGCTCGATAGCAGGAAGAGAGGCATATGCAGGAGGTAGGTTGCATGCCCGCCAACTTAAATCTACCATTTACCAATAATTTTGAATAGGCTCGATATATTGCGCAACCAAATTTGCCGTTGCCGCATTCTCGAATTCCCTGATGAAGGAGCTAGTCAATACCCCCATTAGGGTATGCGAAATTCAACCTGGTGGGATTTAGCCCTATCGCCTGCTCATTGATATATTAAAATTGCTGACTCGCTCGGTTAGGTATGGTTGAAACTGAGTTCTCCATTGTCAGATTCAGGGGCGACAAAGACCGCGCAAGCAGAGAGTACAAGGGTTTAACTCCTTGTAAGCATAGCAATAGCCTCTGGCATTGTCGAATATACATGACTGACAGTAATCTCATAGTAACGGGTGATGATATTGCGGAAGAAATCGTCTGGTGTGCAAGTAGGCCTGACCATGTTCAGATTGCTCAGATGCGTAATAATCCATCCCCATCCTCCTATCTTGCTCCTCACTGGCAGCGGATTTGCTAACCTGGTCGTAATAGTTGTTTTCCCAACTGCTCAAGCATCTGCTGGAATCAGCTACCGGAAGCCCGAATGAAAGGAAATTCAGCCTATGGTGGTTCTTTCGGTGCTTTAAATAGACATCGACGTACTTGTTACCTGGTTATGTATCTACAACGTCTGTGATGAAATACTAGTCTGCTTGTCTGGTAGTTAGATGTTTGAGCTAGAGGTCTCCCTGAATCAACATTTATATAACCTTGTCATATTTCTGAGAGAAACCGCATGGCGAACTAGGGGCCCTTTGCTCCCTGTTCTATACGTGGTGCTAGTGCACTCCGTGGCCGTGACCTAAACTTAGCTCTACAGCGTCCTGTAAATTCTTAACCCAAATGTCATATTGGAACATTTAACAATAGCTAATAAAATAAGGACCATATTTCCCATTTATAAACCGATAGCTATGTCTTGAGACTTACAACAGGCTATGCTGCTCCATAAGAAGACCGCTCTCTCCATTAATTTCTTTATCGAACCCATTGCGCTTCTCGAACTCTTCAAACTCCTTGCTGCCACGCCGAAGATATATGCTGTCCACCGACCGCTCATCTAGGCCCTTGGATTTGGCTGCTGCAACCATATTATGGAGTTCAGCATCCACCTTGGCCCGTTTGAACCCTGCGTTTCGGGGATACCAGAATTTCCGCTCTCTTGCGGGCTTGAAATCTCGCACAGAATCACGGCCGAGATTGCGGAGGATCACTTGCTCAAGAAGGCTCTTTAAATGGAGTTAGGGCCCTAGGTCGACACATGTCATGGATTTGGGGGCTAGGAGGATAACGCACATAATTGCCATCTGGGCGGTTGAGGTTGTATGGACTGTGGAGTGAGACATGTGGGTTGGAAATAACTCGAGCGTAATGCAAGTAGTTTGGACTGGCGCAATGAGGAAGGAGGCCATGTAGAAGAATAACATCTCCCTTTCTGGCGACGATGGTCGAGAACTGTTTGCAATCCTTGACATGTGCGCACTGTCGCTGCTGATGATCGATGGGTGGGTCAAGGCCTTCGGGGTGGGCATAGAGATACTCGACAACACCTGGTACACGGTATCGGTGAGTGTATGGATGTATCTGGAGCGATATTCCTACCTTTGAGGGCGTCTTCACACACGCAAGTACCGCCACCTCGAGCCGGAATATCAGTGAAGGCATGGATCACCGTCAAGGCATTACCTGACGAGTCAAGAAACATGCGATACCAGTCATCGTCTGTATGCCAACCACCCAGGTCTTGAGGTGGCAATAGTGCGGAGTTATTGATCTGAGAGGCTTTCTCGCTACTGCCGAAGTTGATGATGAAAGCCTCTCCGTAGTATCGTTCGCGCACCGGGTCGATCCTATCCTCGCCGCCGCAAATTTCAACAATTTTGGCCCAGGCCTCCGGGGCAAATTCTTCAGCTGGGACCTCTCGATGTCTAGGAAGATGCAAGTAGTCGCTGTGCCAAGTGGACTTGTCGTGCTCATCATAGCCAATCCTTACCCATAGGTCTTGCATCCATTTGTCAATATATTCTTCCTTGATTGCACCTGGGACCCGAAGCCAACCCTTGGTGAGGAAGTGGTTGACTTCCTCGGGTGAGAGGTGCTTGTATGGCGGCATTTTCCGTCCTTTCGTTTTCACGCAGTCTATATTGATGAACAAATAAATGTAGACTCGACTGGAGATGGGACTGTTGGGGAGGCATCATCCTAGCTTCTATAGCTTGCAGGTAACTGATTTACTCTGCGTGCCCTTGACAATACCTTCTAATCTCCGGAGTGGTTTTTTTATCAATAAAATCTTAAAAATACGAGAGATATATTTTCATTAATACAGGCTACAATAAGTTAAATTATATAGAATTTACTAGTTTCATATTGTTCCTGTTGAGATATCAGGAATCAGGGCTCGACACATAATACGGTCTGACCTATGGTTCAATTAATGTGGACATGAGCCTCCACAGTCAAGGCGTGTTCGGCTTTCAGCAATTGACCACTGCTCCAGGACGAGTTTACCCCGCACATCAATGTTTGTGTCTGGGGGCGTCTTGAATCCTCCGGGTACTAGAATCCCGGCTATCAGACTGCTTACTCGGGGACACCACGCTGCCGTTGTCACCCCCGCACCCCCGGATTTCAGTAAATAACCGATCCCTTATTCTTCATGAGCTTTTGCAATAACAGACATGAGAAATGCCGCGCAATTCAGCAAGCGAAAGTTCCCAAAAAAGGGGCGGGGAAAAACGCCGGTCGAATCACGCTTGTCAAAGGTTATACTTCCCTGTTACTCATAGCAGTGAATTTGCGCTGACATGGCCGTTCTCAATAGCTGCCGTGTGGTAAGTTACCTTGAAGATAAAAATAGCTAAGTGAATATGAATTCAAGTCATCCTAGGCGAAAGCAAAGTGCGAACTGGTTACCGGTGGGCCACAATGTCGCCGATGTTTCTTGTCCTCCGCTGCGTGCGTTTTCCCGCCTAGTCGGCGGGGGCGGATCAAGGGAAGCAAGAAGTATGTACTATCACGATGTAAAATCCGGGGACTACACTAATGATCTAGTCGGCGCACTTTGGACAAGCTCCGAGAGGAGCAAATGTTGTCCTTGTGGCTCAGAACACAGACTCAACATGTTCTCGGAGTGGAAACCTCAAACACGGCGACTCCTGAGTTTGGGCTGAATGGGAAAGGAAATGGGGAGATCGCATCAAATACCCCAGAGGCCATTTCTGATATTCGAGACTCTTCTGGAAACAACTTTACCGCCACAAGCCAGTGTGAAATCGATCTTGATGGTCGGGAAGCCTCATATGGCTCTCGTGGAAATACATTGCTCCCGCACGAGCCTGAAAAGATCGTGCATATTCCCGGCAAGCTTCCAATCGAGAGAGGTGAAAGCTATGAGGTTTCCAATGAAACGAAAGGCTTGCAGGACCCTTTGCGGGCGATGGCTGGACTCGCAGAGCGCGGCTGGGACCTTCATGGCACACATGGCCACCAGAGCAATAGTAGCGCAGAGCCCCCGGCTTCGCGTACATCTCCCAGTTTGCCGGTGGAGGAAGCGTGTCTTCTCGGCAAGTAGAAGATTAAAAATCTCCAGGAAATCGAAAAGGAACACAATCGCTATTATGAGCATGGATTGTTCGGATCCAAGTGCGATGTAGCCCCTGATCTGGATCCTATCCAGCGCGGGCTAGTCACTAAGAAAGGGGCAAGGGACCTTTTCGAGGCGTATGTGAATAGAATCTCTTATTGAGGCACAACTGATGTTCAATTTGCTTCTTGAAGGTATTTTGACATGATCAACCCGCAATGGGCGGTGTTAGACTCTACGATCCACACCGTGGAGTATGTGAGCGCTCGGTCAGCCCTATTGACAACCACTATCCTTGCTGTTGGTGCTACGGCTCTCTCCCAGCATCCTGATGGTCCGGAATGGCGAGTCACCGAAGCACTCCGGCTGCATGCACATACCCAAAATCTTAAGCTCGTCGTCTTTGCCGCTGGCGCTAGGTCTATTGAGATCGTTCAAGCGCAAATTGTCCGCACTCAGCCTCTTTCTTTTTTGTTCCAGGTTGCTAACATTGCTCCAAAAGATTTTATCCCGGTGGAGTATTTCTCCCAGTTCGCGGCTCGACGAACAGCGGTGGATGCATGCTGCCATGGTGCCCAGAATGGCTGCTGAAATTGGACTTGGCCTGTCGCATCGCTACGACGAGGATGGCTGTGATACCGCGGAGACTGAGAAACTTCGGAACAACAATTGTCGCACCAGAGCTTTCATGATAATTAATGAGCATCGGTAAGATGCCGGCCTTGCACAATTCTGGTCCATAGCTAACACTCTTCCATCAGTTTCGCAAGTTTCTCCGGCCGCCATCCCATGGATCTCGCCTCGTTCGAGTTGCATACTAATGAGTTAGACACTATCACACATCTATATTGGGGTCCATCTTGCATTTCGCTGGCGGCACTTTATCATCTCTTTCTTTTCGATGTGAGTCAGTACCTTAACCCACACATATATGATGTGCATGCTGAACTGTCGCACTAGAGAGATGTGCGGAGAAGATTGGAGCAGTATCAGTCAGTGCCTGGAACTGGCCTCTCCCTTGATGCTGAACTCGAGCATGTAAAGTCGTATGTTGAGAAGTGGATCCAGGAATGGTGTCATACAGAAGGGAAACCTCACCTCAATTGGCACCTATCGCACGATGCTCTTAGCTGTTGGCTTCTCTTGGCCGTCCATATTGCAAGAAGACGGACTGAACTGTGCAATGCGTCCCCATTCAGCCACAGGCGGAAGCAGGAACAGCAGCGGCTTCTGCTGGGTCTCTGTACAAGACTATTTACGGGGTCACTGGAAACCCCAGGAGCAGTACGTATGACCCACCGTGCGGGCATCTTCCCTTTCGCGGCATCTATTCTCTTGAGATTAGGCGGGAAGCGCGACCTTGTCCTTCGTACTGCCTTGCATATGTCTGGAGAGCCGGGAAAGCCACATGTTCCCACCTTTGTTCGACAGTCAGGAACCCAAATGCTAGTAATGCTCTGGTTTGTCCGTTCTCGGTTCTTGCAGGGGCTTCATTCACTAAAATGCTTTTTTAGTAAGACACATTTTTCCCGAGCCCCAACCCCGCTGCCGCAGGCCCACGTAGGACCTGACCATGACCGGCCACATCTCGTGGAAGAAGAGCTAGAAGCAGGCCGTAGTCAGGATTCTCAGGCACATGCACCGATCTTGTCCAACGGGGACATTCATGGTTTGCAAACAACGGAGGGGGACGTGTTTCCCTCTTTTAACCTTCCAGAGTTTCCATACGTCCCGAATCCAGATCTGCCGCAAATCCAAGTCCAAGAGTCCCTTCTGCTTCCGGCTTCTCCCCTTGGTGATCTTGGTCAATGGGGGCTTTCAGAGATAGAAAATTGGATTGGACCAACGACCTCATCAGAGCCCTTGCAAGATTCTGAAAGTTCCGCCCCAATGCAAGTCACTTCCATCGGGCTGCCATTCGACCCGATGGCTTCGTGTCGGGTTCCTCTAGGGGAACCTCATACAGAGGTCACTTGGAATAGGGACGATCTGTCCCCGGCCAACACATTTCCCGCAGCTCCTGGTGTTAGCACGACCAGAGGGAATACCTCCAACGAACAACGGGAATACTTGCTATCTGCTGTTGACCATCTTAAACAGCTTGTATCCCTGATTCAGTGACGGATATATAAGCCTTTTCCAGTTCCTGCTTGCAGAATTTGACTAGACCTTTGCCAGCTTAGAAATGCAGTGTTATAACAGTAGTTAAATGATAGAGACCACTGGAATCTGGATGCAGTGGCCCGGAATTCTTTGACTCGAGCTAATGAGGCCCCCTCACTAGCCGAGGGATCTACATCTGGTTCATGTCTAGTAACCGGTTCCGGCATCTAGACACGGATTACCTGCAGCGCTTACAACAAGTATATACTCCTGTTCATGTCTCATAAGTTGCCTCTCAATAGAATACAGGGAAGATTTATTTTCCAGTATGACTACCGCCTCTCAGTCTACCAACGTTGATGACAAACCGGCCATCGCGCATGTCGAACATCGGCTGCCGGGCACAAATGCAGAGCCAGTTGATGTTAAGGCCCATAATTTTGGGACGACGGGCTCGCCATGTAGACAACTAGGCCTCTTGGAGTCTCTTCGCACCTACAAATTCGCTTCGATTATCTGCATTCTTGCTGCGGTTGGGGCTCTCTCAGATGGATATCAGGTCCAAATGTCTGGCAGTATTGTCGCCCTCCCCGGTTTTATCCAGACATTTGGAGAACTTCAATCCGATGGGGAGTACAAAATTGACCCTCAGTATATTTCTCTCTGGGGCTGTACGTCTTCCTCTTAATATTCAAAAGAGCTGCTCCACTAACCTAAATTACAACCAGCTCTCAAGAATGTTTTTGCTATGCTGGGTGCGGGAATTGGGTCCTACCCAACAGACAAATTTGGTCGTCGGTGGATGATATTGGTTGTCCAAATCATTATGGCTGGGGCTTGTATCCTGGAGCAACTAGCCACACACTGGACGCATTGGCTGGGTGCTCGGTTCCTTGACGTGGGTGCTCAATCGTTCCTGACTCTGGGGTGACTCTGGCTGACTAGTAGCCTTCTAGGGCTTCTCCATTGGCCTTGCGCAATGCTGTATCAACGTGTATATCTCAGAAATGGCACCGACCCCTTGCCGTGGTGCTTTAATGAGCCTTGTTCAGTTGTTTGTGGGTTACTCCTCCAAGCTTGTATTGATTTTAGAACTTTGTTCAGTAAAATACTGATGGAATACAGTACTCCATAGGTTCGTTCCTATCAGCCATATCACTGAACATCGTTTCGCAAGACAAACCTTCAAACTGGCGCCACGCCGTTCTGTCCCAATTTGCACTATGTGGAGCCGCCCTTCTTGCATGGCTCTTCCTTCCAGAGTCAATCCGTTGGCTCTGCATTACTGGCCGCGAAAGTCAGGCCAAAAAAGTCATGGAAAAGGTATATCGTGGCGTTGAAGGCTACCATATCGACGAAGAATACAATAAGGTCATGCTCGAGATTGAGAAATCACGTCAGACTGCAGCAATTCGGGATGCAGGGTCATACCTAGATGTATTCCGGGGATCTAACCGGGTAAGATGTCTGGTATATTGTTTCCTTCTCCCGGCTAATAATCACTTTTGCCCCGAATGGTAGCGTCGATTGATTATCTCCTTCCTGCCATGGCACTGGCAGGTTGCCATTGGCGTCCCTATAATTTCAACCTACTCGAGCTACTTCTTCGACATAGCTGGTCTGGCCAATCCGTTCAACGGAACTGTCGCAACCAAGTGGGTTATCAGTTAAAGTGTGGGTTTAGGGTTATTCACTAATGTTTTCATAGTGTTGTTACAATTGTTATGCTGTTCATCGCTGTTCCTCTTGTCGAACGCCTCGGTCGACGTACGCTTCTCCTTTGGTTTGCGCCAATCTGCATCTTCTCCCTTCTTATCATCGGCGGCGTCCTCAGAGCAGAAGGACCAGCAGTTGGCCCTGCATTAGTTACATTTGCGTATGGAGAACTCTTGCTTGTTACAAAAATGCCCCTTGAACCGGCTAATTATGCATAGGTGCGTCTGGAGCGTCGGCTACAATCTCTCCTGTGGTCCGATGGGATATATCTATGTCGCTGAGACAGGCACCACAAGACTTCGGGCCAAAACAACAGGGGTTGCCATCATATTAATTCAGGCAATGGCGACAGTATACGTCTACATCGCCCCTATCATGCTTAATAGCCCATCCTTGGGCATGAGCAACACTGGTAAGTAGGCCGTTGGTCCATTTACACTGTGCTGGATTAACTGACTATTGTAATAATATTAGTTTTCTTCTGGGTTGGAACAGGTACTCTTGTTTATATCTTGGTTTGGTTTCTAGTTCCTGAAACGAAGGGTCGTTCTTTTGAGGAACTTGACGAACTCTTTGCTCGCGATATACCTGCGTGGAAATTTGCCCAGACCAGGACGTCGGTTCAGGATGATGGTCTCTCTCAACTTCAGGAGCCAAGGGCCTTAGAGGCATAGAGGAAAGCATAATCCAACAGTGTCCTAGCGTTACCGGAGCATCATAAGATGCTAAACTTGGAAAGGTCTCCCACATTGCTTGACCAATCGCCAAGTAGATCTAGATTAAACTACATGGATGTTACTTCCCTGGCCAACAATAAATTTACCTCCCTATCTTTCAATACTAATAGAGTTCCAGGCTGTTCTGTGCACTATATATAGCTACTACTATATACAGCAGATTTTTCCCGAATAGGACGCTAAACTGGAACCAGTAATCGGAGTATATATTGTCCATGTAAGGCGGACACTTCAGATCGCGGATACCCACGGGCAGTGTTTCCCGATCAGGCAAAGAGGGCCGGGCCGACAGACACACGTAAGCCGCCGTTGAGCAGACACAGACTGCAACTCGCTCTCAAAAGCCACGACCAGTGTCCATCCGGGATGGTTATGCAAGCTTAGCGAGCGGACGATGGCGGACATCCAGCTCCCGCAGCAGCAGCGCGTACGCAAGAGGAGGCGGCGGACGATCGCCTGTTCGCAGTGCCGCAGCAGGAAACTAAAGTGTGACCGCGAGTATCCGACGTGCGGCCGGTGCCTGAAGGGCAAAACGCCCACCAAATGCTCCTACGAAGATGGCTTTCTGTGGCAGCAACCCAGCACGGTGGATTCGTCTGTCCCTGACCGGGCACCCGCAGCCACAGGCGCCACTACAGCTGCTTCGCAGATGCAGTTGGCCGATCGGCCGGCTGCTGCCCACCCGACCCCAGACTCGGCGATAAGCAAGTCGTCGGCTCGGCCTCAACTAACAAATTCGATGGCTGTGCATCCTGCCGGGGAAAAGCGTGATCGGTTCCTGGAAACCGTCCTGGGGGCGCCCAAAGCTGCGGTCAATCAGGATTTCATGAACGGCGCTGAGCTCTTACACCGCAACAGGCACCATACTGCGAATTCCGACTCACAGGCCGACTCGGTGCAGGACGATGAGCCCCCAGTATCACCATCTCAGTCGCTGGATCTTTCGCCTAGAATCATGATGCGAGGGAAGGATACCAAGACTCGCTTTAATGGTTCCGGCATATTTGCGAACCTTATTGCCCAGGTACTACTGTCTCCCCCAACCTCGGCTTATGGCAGACCACTAACCTCTGCGCAGTTTCCGGATCTCAGATCGTTTGCAGAAGAAATTCGGCTCTCTAGCCCTCATCTCTCTGCTCTTCGGTTTGACCTGACCAGGGTCACGAGGGGTATCTGGAAAGTGAAAGTCCTTCACCAGCCTGTTCAAGACTTTAGTGCGGCATCTCTAGTTTCCCTGCTTCCGTCTCGACAGGTTGTTGATGAGTTGGTGATTCTGTTCCTCACGCATGTCGAGTCCACGCATAGGATCCTACACATTCCCACGTTCCTCAAGGAGTTGGATGTTTTCTGGGAGCAGAAATCTAATCCTAGCCTTGTGTCCCCGGCATTTGTGGTGCAGCTGCTCCTCGTCCTTGCTTGTGCGTGGAATCTTGCAGATTTTTCCACTCTTGAGCTGAAGAATGGGTCGAGCCTCAAGTGTTATACTGCTATAGAATGGATCATGCATGCAGACAAGTGGATCGAGAACGCCCACATCAAGCGCTCAGATATCATGGTCCTTCGACTGCATGTGCTTCTGGTCACTGCCCAAACGGCACATGGGATGTGTCGGAGCAAGGCATGGCTCACCACATCAAACCTTGTGAAACGGGCCATGTTGGCCGGTTATCATCGGGACACTAGCATGTACACCAAGATCTCGCCTTTCAACCAGGAAATGCGCAGGCGCATATGGACTACCATCGTGGAACTGGATCTTCAGGTATCCCTCGAGCGCGGCATGGCACCAGCAGTCCAAGAATCGGATTATGACACGGTGGCACCTTTGAATGTAAACGACATCGACCTCCACGAAACCATGGAGGAACTACCTGCAGAGCGCCCACTAGAAGAATTCACCGATTGCTCCTTCCAGACAGCCCTATCGCAGTCCCTTCCATTGCGGCTGAAAGCTTGTGCCTTGATGCACTCCCCACGGATCAGATGTCGCTATGAGGATATTCTCCGCTTAGACTGGGAACTAAACCGGTATATGTCAAAAATACCCAATTGGAAGGTCCCGGATCTTGGCAATATTCAAACAGCGGACAAAGTGACTCTAACAAAGTACATGTTGGAGAACAAAATCGGTCTTAGCCTTTTGTCCATCCACACTCCCTTTGCGATTGAAGCGTCACGGGAGCCTCTCTTTGCTCCATCCGCCAGGTCGCGGCTGGAGATTGTGACTATGATTCTATCGACTCAGAAACGACTGCATGAGACATCAACACCGCTCTCTCTCAGTAACCTCGGTGACTGGACCGTGCAAGCTTATTGCTCAGTCTGTCAATTGCTACATGAGGCAGCTTCTACTCATAGTATGTTCCTCGCCCATGATTACGGCTGTCGCTAACCTATATAATAGACACCAACTCCGTCTCTCTGATTAATACACTTCCTGGGATACCAGAGTCCTTGATAGGCTTGGTGGAGGTGGCTCGCGCTTGCATGGAGATACACCTCCTTTCGGTAATCAAAGGCGCAAAAGATTACTTCTTCATGTCCACCATTCTGGCACTGGTCAAGGCCAAACTATGGCCGGTGCAAGCAGCCGTCTACAAGCAAGAGGTGGTCCAACGAGTCATCTTATTCGCACAGACACTTTTCACGCGCCACGCAAATTGCGCCCATCTGGGAGAACTGGGGATGGGGAGCTTCAAAACTAATCAGGTGTGTATATCGCCAACTTTTCTATCCACATGTGTGTCAGTCGTTAACTTGGTTTCATCTGAAGGTACCTGGTTTGGATAGTTTTCATGCAGTGCCTTCGCAATTCATGCCCGACCCTAATATCCCGCTGCCAGATGATTTCGGGCTGATGGTAAGTTTTGATGTTAGATCATTCTAGTACTGTTACTAATGAGTAGCAGCCGCCTGGCGATTTAGATCCGTTTATGGAAGCGTTTGACTGGGGTGATATGACGGGTTTTGCTTTTGAATAGCTTACGGCATAATGGCCGTCTAGATTAGTTCCGGTGGAAACTGCCCAGCGAGTTTATGGGCGCAATTGTTGTAATTAGCAGTTTATTGTCTGTACTTTATTGTATATATAGAGGAATTGGGGTTCATATACAACTTCTGCCATCATGAGATGATTATGTTGATCACGCAAACAAGCCACTGTTCCACTTCAATCCTCATAATTTTCTAATAATACATATACCTCTTAGGTTTAGAAAGGTGAACCCTTGATCAATCCCTCGAGGTAGGAATGTTCTTTAAATAATACCAGTTTAAGACATGTCTGAGTCTTGATACGATACGACCACCCGCCTCTGCGAATATCCCCAAGGTTTCTGATGTAGCAATTTCAATTAACCTAAACAGCGCATACTCGCAAAGTAGTTTAGGAAGCTCGCAAGACAAGGCGTCCAACCTCGCAAGGTCAGCAAGGCCGCCGATGCGATCCATCTTCAGGCGTCCCATCATCTTTCAGGGATTGTACCCAGCGGAGGGGATATTTTTAGTATTTTAGGCCCTGAGGTATTACCTATAGCGTTATTATCTTTATAGTGCATAGTTTATACTCGGGCCCCGGTCGTCTATATATTCGGCTTGGACTCCAATAATTGCATCCACCGTTATTCCAGTTGCTGCTTATTAAACGATAACCAAGCATCAAACATTCATCTACAGCAAGAAACTCTGTACCACGAACCATACCCACCAAAATGTACAAACTCGTCGCATTCGCCTCCATCGTCGCCTGCACCGCTGCAGCCTTAACCGCCCCAGGGCCCGACGAGTCCATCATAACCCTCCCAACGGTGACCAGTCTCCCCGGACACTCCGAGACAGTCACCACCCTCCCAGGGCATTCCGAGACGGTGCCGGACTCGCCAACCGATACACCAACCACCACTCACCCAATCGGCTCTGGTACCATCCCTCCGTGGGCCTCCCAAAGCCCGACCCCGACTCATCCAATTGGAAGTGGATCGCCTCCGCCTGGTAGTAGTAGCCCTAGTGATTCTCCATCGTCGACGGGAAGCAGTGGGGATGATGGCCCGACATTTACGGGCGCGGCTAAGCCTCTGTATAAGGCCGGGACGATCTATGCTGTTGCGGGTGTTGGGGCGTTGGTTGGGGCTGTTATTGTTTAGGGCTGGTTTTCTGATGCTTTGGATTGATATTAGTTAATAAGTCATTTAATATACAACGGTTGCTAAATATATCTGTCTCCCATAGGGCTGAAGCGTCGAGTTCTCTGCCCACGTTGATAATACAACTCCATAACCAGGCTCAGCTATACTCCTGCTCATTCCATCTTACATTAATTATCGCTTAATTGTTGTTATGGTGAGTATACTCCACATGACTAATCCTTGTCTAATGATTCGCCCGTTTAGTCATCGTTATATAAGGACGGAGTTTTCGTCTCAACGGGAATTTATTGTTGAACATCGTGTCTTGGATATGGCTTCGACCAGCTCTATTCCTGGAAACTCTTAGCCAGGAACACTTCAACCGTTCGACCCGTGTTCTCATTATAAACTGGGTGACCGACCGCTGTCTCGGACTCGAAACATGGACGGCCCGGCAGAGAACAGCCCGCCCCCACTGTCCAATGAGGACTTCAAGGTGTACAACAGCGCGGCCGAAAAGATGGATTTCTTCGTGAGTCACGAACCAGGAGATGAGACAGGAGACGGAACGCAGCCCGTTATTACATGGAGCAGATACTGACCGCTCGTTAGCACGGCCTGTTGCGGCGCTCATGGAATATTCTGTGGACCGCCTGCAACTCGGGTCGACGGCCCAACGGGATGTCGATTCGACAATTCATTGCAGAGGGGCTGCGGTTCGCAGACCACCTAGAAACCCACCATCACATCGAAGAGACGATGGTCTTCCCGTTTCTGGCCAAGCGGATGCCCGAGTTCAAGCAGGGGCGCGGGCGGAAGCAGGCTGACCTGTTGCGGCACCACCGCGAGATTCACGCCGGGATGGACGGGTTCAGGGAGTATCTGGAGAAGTGTTCGCAGGGCGAGGAGGACCTGCAGATGGAGGTGCTACGGGCGAAGATGGATTCGTGGAGGGAGGTGCTGTGGATGCATCTGGACCAGGAGGTCGCGACGCTGGGCGCAGAGAATATGCGGCGGTACTGGACGAAGGAGGAGATGAGGCTTGTTCCGATGTGATAGAACCATACAATGCTATAAAGTAGACGCCACACGTGAATGTGCCGTCCCTGTTATTTCCCAGTTGGCATAATAATAGCACGCTAATCATGATATCACACGATCATGATCGGCGAGATCTCACGGTCTGGACAAGTCCGCCCGTTGGCCGATCAATTCAATTGTTCCTGCTTGATCTTTTTCTGAGAATGTGTGTATCTGCGTCATGATGTGCCCCTGGCGTGCTGTTTGGTTATTTGCTACTCCTCTTGCGGCCTGAGCGCCTATACTATGTACTCTTCTGCCTGATAATGCACATCACCCCTTGCACGATTGACAACTCATCAGCTCTGATCTGGCGCCAATCTTGTATGCGATGACGATGGCTGGAGCATCCCTGCGCCATATGCTTTGAGTTACGAATCCCTCGCCGTTTTCTTGATCGACCCGATTCCTTCCTCCTGGGACCGTCACGCCCAGGTCCAAGACGCCAATGGCACATATCACATTTCTGGGGCTCATCTTCTGGATGTGTCTCGCAGCAGCACAGCCAATAGAGTCTGACGTCTTCTCCGACACCACGCATTACCCTCTCCCAAACATAGGCAATGTGGCGGCGCACGACCCCAGCATCATATATCATGACGACCACTACTACATGTTTAAAGGCGGAATCAAGATCCCCATCTTCAAATCATCCCAGCTCTCCGGACCCTGGGAAAAGATCGGCACGGTACTAGATGGCGACAGCATCGTCAGGAAACAGAACCGCTCGCGGCCCTGGGCACCCACGGTGACGCAGTGGAAGGGTCGCTTCTACTGCTTCTACTCCATTAGTAGAAATGGCCGGCGGAATAGTGCGATTGGGCTTGCTTCGTCTGATTCCATCGAGCCCGGTTGATGGACGGACCACGGCGCCCTGTTTAATACTGGCAAGGGCCGTCTGTCTGATGTCTATCCTTACAGCGTGACGAATGCGATCGACCCGGCGTTCTTCGTGGACCCTACGTCGGGGAAGCCGTACTTGCAATATGGAAGCTACTGGAATGGTATATTCCAGATCCCATTGACGGAGACTTTATCTATTACCAACCCTAAAAGGCCGAATCCGGACCATCTTGCCTATGTGCCGAATCAGAGGCTCAAGCCTATTGAGGGTTCGTTCCTCAGCTACAAGGCCCCGTACTACTATACCTGGTTTAGTCATGGGCAATGCTGCCATTTCCCCATCGAAGGATTCCCGAGGAAGGGGGATGAGTATAGTATCCGTGTTGGAAGGTCTACGAGCGTCCACGGCCCATTCGCTGACCGGGATGGTAAGAAGCTGCTCGAGGGAGGCGGCTCTATCGTATACGGCTCGAATCATAGGGAAGTGTATGCCCCAGGTGGGCTGGGTGTTCTGTCCGGCAGTGATGGCAGTTCCGACATTCTATACTATCATTACTGTGCGTCTTACACTTTGCTGCTACTCTCAACCACTGACATGCCATAGTGAACACGACCATTGGTGTCCGCCATAAGGTAGGATCTCCAAACATATCATCTACTTCTTCTGACGCATCCTAGGACGCACAACTAGGATGGAACTACCTCGACTATGTAGATGGATGGCCTGTCCCAAGCGACAAACGACCACAGTACCAAGTCCACAACGAACCTGAACCTGAACCTGAGCCTGAACCAGAGCCAGAGCCAGAGCCTGAGCCCGAGCCCGAACCCACTGATCCGTCCGCCCACAAAGAGCCCAAGAGCCCTGGTGTACGAGTATTCCCAAGTTACATGCACCCAATAATTGCAAATATGTGTACGTATATTCTCCTAGGGGTCTTGGTGCAAGGATTAATTCGCCAACTGGATCGTTCCATTACTTGTCTTGTTGCGTTGCTTCTAACATTCTTCGATTCCAGGCTTGATGGCGTTTTTTGCTGTATGAGATATACGATTTGGATCTGTTAGGAGTTTTGGAAATGGTTATGACCGTAGAGATTAGAATAGATGATATAAACATAGACATAGAGTATGAATTATTAACAGGTATTCTGCCTCAACACACTTTGGCTTGTTATATGAACCATGCAACTTTTGTCTGGAGTGAGACTGAAACTGCCATCTAAGGAAGGAACGAATGACTACTGGCGCCTTCCAAATTTGATATATATCTTAAGTACGTATACGGAAGGTGCGACTGTATCACAGGTTAGGAAGGTGCAACCCCTTCATTATGATACGGGTAGATATGCTGAAGTGTATCTATAAGGGCATGTTCATTAATTAAGTAAACCCTTTCCAGCCTCGACGGCCGCCTCGTTTGCCCTCTTCCACATTCTAATCCTCCGCAAATGTCCAGCGGCGAAATCATCCGGCCATGCCCGGTCAAACTCTGGTAATTTCCTGCCTGGCTCTCCATTTGCGGGCTCCCCAGCCAGCGCTCTGAGCTGCTCAAAGTATTGCTCGAAATCAGGGAACACCATCAGGAACCCTGCCCCGTCGCCTTTGACCGCGATCCGGTCTTCCTCCCACTTCTTCTGCTCGGAGAGCGGTGGCAGGGTAGCCTTTCCGGCCAGGACGCGCGTTGCGGCAACAGCTTGCCATTCGAAGACTTTGAACGTTAGGCCGGCGCCAACCTGTTTAATTAGTTATGTTTAGGCTCAATAGAAGACAAGACATACCGCGCCCAAAAACACCAGTGACGGGTCCGACTGATGGAACACGTGTAGATACAGATCCGGAACGCGATTATTGCGGATTGGAATCTGTGGCAGGAATGGTAGAGTCCACGTAAACCCTGTGCCAAAGATAAGATGGTCGACGTCGGAAATGGAGGTGCCATCCTCGAAATGTACCGTCCTGGCCTCATTGTCGCTGTCGATCCGGGCGATTGGCGGACGACGCTCAATCTTGGGATGCTTGAATGCTTCGTCGCCGAAGTAGATGTTGTATTTGCCGCGCACGACAGCGTAGATGGGTGATTGCGCAGAGTCGATCAGGCTTACAGCCGTGTCTGCGGCGGAGACGGAGGCGCCGACGGTTATGACTTTCTTTCCTCTATACTTCTTCGGTCCACGATACTGCTTCGCATGTTCCACGCAACCGGGATATCTCTCCGCGAACTCCTTTAACCCGGGGATAGGCGGTACATAGGGGACATGGTAATGGCCAGACGCAACCACCAGTGCATCGAACGTCTCGGTCCACCAGTAGTCCAGTTTCCGCGACTGCCCAGGTTTCCTGAGGGTCAAAACCCACGTATTCGTCTCGGGGTCCTTGACAGCTCGCTCAACGGTCGTGTTATACTCCACAAGATCCTGGTACCCATTCCGACTGAGCAGATCCTCGACGTACTGGCGGATGACCCGATGATGCCGGAACGGCGTATCAGGCCCGTGAAGCCCAACAGACCAGTCTGAGCGGGTTTCAGGGATCCGTTCCTCTGGCCCAGAGTACTCCATGACCGAGGCGTCCACGTTCGTATGCAGCCCCGGGTAGATATGTGAATCTGTGTAGCGGTGCGCTGTCACAGAGGGCGTGTACCGCGGTAGATTTGCGGGGATCTCAACGGGCTTGTCTGCCGTGCGTGTTGAGAGGCTGTCGATGTCTAGTGGTTCTGCCTGTTCGGTTTCTCGCGATACCCTGCCCCCCGTTAGCAATTCACTTCATTCACTTTCGATGGTGGATAGATACCAGTTACCACCGGCTTTCTCCTGCCGCTCAAACACTCGGACAACATCGAATGCGCCCTCCTGCACCAGGGCATCCACTGCAATAGCGCCAGACGGCCCTGTGCCGATGACAGCGACACGCTTGATAGGGGACATGGCTCAGGCTTCTCTACAGTAATACTGAGTATAGGTGGCCTAGGGATTTTGGACCTACCCCACAACACAGACAGAGCAGCGCCCCTCACTGCTTTATTTAAAGCTTCACCTGCGATCGATGATCGATAACGAGCCGGCGGGCCTTATCTTCAATTTTTCGTCGCCGTTTCGTCGCCATTGCCAAAGACGCCGCTGTGATTGGTGGAGGGGTGGGATAAGTTACCGCTAGCGGGTATTATCACATTCGAAGCTCAAATCACATCATTTTGGGATGTATTTTTGGGATTGGCGAGTTTTATTGGCTGGATGGTGGTTGCTATTTGGTGCTGAGTTATGGATTTCAGCGCGGGAAAAGAAGGTAGAATGGTCTCTGGGATCCCTATTGAGGGTTTATATGGTCTGGATTTGACAAAGAAGACTGTGGTGCTGGTGTTTTCTGCTGTGGGCGTGGTATAGATATAGTTGAAAGCGCGGTACGCTGGTAATTTATCTTATCGGCCGATAAGATATGCAGACATAGATGATGTAAGCAGGAAATGCATTCTGTTATGCATGCTATGCAAGTCTCAAAGTGAACTCTCGCAACTCTCAAGTCTCAGTCGCGTCCTGGAGATTCAAAATATGGACTTCATGATTCCATCTAGTGACGCAATTAACATGGCCGGCTGCCGCCATTCATCCGAAACATCCGTCTCCAGAACTTTTACTTTGCCCCTGAGTGTCCAGTTTCAGAACCCCCGACGGAGCCACGGGAGGATTCCAGCACGGCTTTATCCTTTGACAGCGGCAAAAGATGAGCACCTCGAATCTTTTTGTCTCAGTTCCTCTGATTTCTTCCCCGTCTTTTAGATTAAGTTGTCTGGACCAATTTCGAGATCTATCTGAAACAACACAATCGCGGCTCATCAGTGGCAACAATGCAATGCAAGTTATTCAACCCAAACTGCCCCTCCACATTGTTGCGCAAGAAAGCCGAGTACATGTCATCATCGATAACTCTGAGACGGGTGACAGCCCAGACTCCCGAGCTCGTCTCGGTACTGGCGAGCCTGAGACCCGGGGTGGGATGAGCTCTGCTCGGCTCTCTTCGCTTGGGTAACACGGCCCAGAGGGGAAGCTCATCCCAGGGCAGCCGTCGGTCCTCATCTACCAGATACGAGTTGGGATGTCTTGTACTCCGTAGGGCTTCGGTTATCAGTCGAGAGGCCAGACTCTTCTCTTCATCTCTCCACTTGCGACCCTGGCCACCCTACAAGGCCTAGACTATTTGCGACTATTGACAGTTAGCTCGTTAATTTAGCCACCGGCGGCGCTGAGGCACGGCACGCTGTGCGCCAGAGGACGCCAGGGAAAGGATCGTCCCTGTGACGTTCGTGTTGACTTGGGGTTTCGTGACGGAGTCTAGTTTCCACTTTTGGCCTCCACCATCACGATTGCGGATCTTATCTGCTTGAGGATGTCTCGTCTTCGAGGGAGGTTCCTGTCCACGCCCTCAAAGCCGCCAAACCCCCGAGAACAGACTTTCTTCGGAATATTGCCGGGGGTTTCACCCGGCGTCTGTGCCCTAACAGGGAACGGACAAACTGGCCCTTGTTCCATTCTTCAACAACCCGTAGTTGACAGCGGGCTGGATTGCCAGCGAAATTTCTAGAGACGCGGGAACCACGGCGCAACAATTCGTCAATTGATTGAGACACGTCAGTGTCGAGATACGAGCAGGAATGTAGTCATAATCTGACCTCAGACGTCGAATCTGAATCGAAACTCAAGCCACTGCAGGTCCTCACGGATCGGCGGCAGGCAGGCAGCAAGTGTAACGGGGCAAGGCTGTTCCTGGTGGGTGGCCGATCAGGTTTCGCTACCAAGCCAGCGACTGTGAGCTGGAGGCTGCAAGCTGCAGCGCCGCTGGACTCTGGCCCTTGGTGGGTTTTGCTGATCGCCGGATTAGGAATTTCCGTTTGCGGACGGACGAGACCATGGAAGAAACCATGGAATTCTGCCGGGCCTGCATCATTCGTCTTATTCTGCCAGAATGATGAAGATGAGAAGCGAGTGATGTGCAGGATGTGCAGGCTGTGCATGCGCCCGTTCGTGTATCTGCGAGTCTCCCACCACCATCAGACCCTGCAGGGGCCGAATGAGGTCTGTTTCGGGCATGCCGTGCTCAGTCCTGTTGTTCGCAACAGGAACAGCTAAGGAAGGCGTCGATCTTCCCACTGGAGCTGTAAGCCCGGCAGGTCGAATTAAACGTGACACACGGCGTTTCAGGCGCCAGGATCAAGCACCTCTTAGCGCAGGATTCGTCACTGTGTGAAGATCCTTCCCCACAGCGACACGGGAGGTTGGCTTGCCCTGCGCGCTCAGCAGCCAGCGCCGGCCGCACCACTGTTTCTCCGTGCGCCTGTGGCAACAATCTCTTTCTCTTGCCATGAGTTGGCCAACCCTGCCTCTGTTGAAATTTCGCGTGATCCTGGACGTTGAATAGCGATTTGCAATCCCAGGTACTTGCTTTGCGGCACGGCGTCCGCCTCGAACGGGTCAACGATCTAATCAATCAATGCCGTTGGCCGGCTCAGAAAATAGTGATCAGCCCTGTTGGGCCCTATAAGGGTTTAGGATGGGATTGGGTTCTCGGGTGAGAGTCGGATGTAACGCCACAGGGCTATCTCTCGTATCCGTCGGTTGACTGATAGACCTTGTCTGCAACAATCAGCCACGGCTCTGTATCCACATGGCATCGCGACTCGACAAGAACTGTGTTCAGGGCTCTCGGCATGGCCCCAAGGTCCAGAGAGACTTTCGGACTGCCGACCAAGCAGGGCACGTCATTTGATTCTCGACTGGCGGGATTTCCGAGGGAGAATTCGCAAGCACCCTGGTCCCTGGCGGCAAGGGCCACTTGCACTGGCCACTCTGGCTAAATTCCCGGACGGCTCGGTCTTAGGCGCCAGAGCGTGGTTTCAGGACCCTCCATCAGTATCCAACCTGGAGTGCTTGTCGCGGGAGCATGTGGGTAACAAGCTATGCCAAATCTTAGCCCTGTCTCCGTTCCTTACGCTAGCATGGAGTCCCTGGGGCCCCCAAAAGCCAGCTCCTGAATATTTCTCAAGCTATAAAGAGCGCGCCCATCTCCTCGACAACTTGGTGTTGACCTTGCTTAATCCACTCACTTTCTCAGTCAAGTTTGATCCACTTCCACTCACTTGAACGAATCCGGTATTCGTGGTCTTGTCAATCCTTTTATATTCCAACCAGAAAACCATTCTTTATACAACAAGATGAAGTTCTCTATCGTCGCCTCTCTCGGCCTTGTCGGCTGTGCCCTTGCCCTTCCTGCTCCTCAGGAGGGTGGTCTTCTGCCCCCTCCTCCTGGGTTCCCTACTGAGCTCCCTCCCTGGATCACCGGTCCTCCCAGCAGCACTGCTACCCCCAGCAGCACCGCCACTCCCAGCAGCACTGCCACCCCTAGCAGCAGCGCCAGCGTTTCTCCCACTCCCACTGGCTTCGTCAAGCGCCAGTTCGGCGATGACCAGGACGGCGGCTTCCCTGGCTGGGACTGGCTGACCAGCATCTTCGGCCCTGGCGGACCTGGCGGCGGCCCTGGAGCCCCCACCGGCTCCCCTACCCCCAGCGGCACCCCCAGCAGCTCGCTGCCGTTCCCTACCCCCACCGGGTTCCCCTTCCGCAACTAAAGGATGAGTGAAACGTGAATCTCGCTTCATTCAGCCTCGAACGAGCGTACGAACAGCACCTGCACGACATGTATAACAACACTGCCGGTCGGATGTTGGGTTATGGTCTGGTGGACAGGAAGGGTTCTGGATGTGGTTAGTGGAGGAGAGTGATAGACAAGAGTTGGTCATGGCAGCCAAGTCGACGGCTAGTGGCACGATGTATCTAGCTTAATGCATGGTCAATTGTCCTATACTGCCTCACCAGTAGCCTCACCAGTAGCCTAACCAGGAACAACAACTCGAAGGAGTCCACTAAGGGTCTAACAGGCTAGTCTGTGGGGCCGCACTCTGATGCTGCTCGTTGCTGCAGAGTCCATCGCTAAGTTCCCCTCAAGTCCCCGCAACCTGACCCGCCTCCACATCGACCCCAGATTCATCCGGTCGAGGACATCAAATAAGCCCGAGTGTTTCTGCAGGATTCCCTGCACGGCTTAATATGACAGAAACCGTCCCACAAACGGCCCCGCAAGTGGCAGCCGCCTGCTTCTCCGGTGGGCTCGTATAAGATCTTCCCCCAATCCAATCCACTTATCTATTAATTCGTTCAATTAATCAAAATGCCATCCCCTAGTCACGCCCGCGAAGGCGCAATCCCGGGGACAGTCGACCTCACTGCTGCAGAAGGAGAAGCCACCAGTTCAAGCTACGGCCAGGCGCTGTACCCTGTGCCCACTGATGATCCTAATGATCCTCTTCTCGTATTTTCCCTTTCACCCGATGCGAAAAATCACTCGTGGCTGACAGGCTAAAGTGGCCAGCATGGAAAAAGCATGCCATCCTTGTGATTGTCTCGGTGTATTCCTTCCTGGGGAATTGCTCGCTCGTGGGGCCCTCGGTGTACATCAGCATCTATGCGGAGGAGTTTGGGATTTCGCACGCCGATGCGTCGGGCTTGATTTCGTATCCCAATCTGGCGTTTGGGTTTGGTGTGTTCCTGGGCTGTTAATTATCCGAGTTGGCATGCATTTCTAATTGTTTAGGCTCGTTGATTCTGGTCCCGATGTATCTGAAATTCGGCCGAAGGATTGTGACGCTCTTGTCTATGGCGACGGTAGGTCTTGATGACTTGATGGTATACTGTGATGGGCGGTGCCAATGCGCTACTGTTGTATAGTTCCTCGCCGGCCTCGTTGGCGCCTCCAGAGCAACAAGCTTCTCTGGACTCATGACCGCGCGCGTCTTCCATGGCTTTGGCAGTGGGGTGTGTGAGTCTCTGCCCGTGCAGCTTGTCAATGATATCTTCTATCTGCATGAGCGGGGGAAGCGGATTGGGTATTATACTGGTATTTCCCTATACTCCGGATATGTGCCATGCTAACGGTTTAGTCTGCCTCTGTCTTGGCTCTACTGGCCCTTTGTATGCAGGATACATGCTGGCTGGGGGATACTCATGGCGTCTGTTCTTCTATGTCGTCGCGGCCTTTGCGGGTGCGCTGCTCGTGGCTTCTTTCTTCTTAGTTGAGGAGTCGAGGTTTCATCGTCCAGAGATATCTGGTTCTGAGCCGTGGGAGAGTCAAGAAAAGCGAGACGGAGCAACGCAGGTCGAGGCGGTTCCAGCCAGAAAGACATTTCTCCAGACGCTGAAGCCGTGGGCTCCCATCGACCACGATGCCCAGTTCTTTGCAACAATCGTCCGCTCCTTCGCGTACTTCCTCGTCCCCGCCGTGCTCTGGGTCATCACCAGCTTCGGCATCTACATCGGCCTCGGCGCCCTCACCTTCAACTACACCTTCCCCCTCCTCATCACCGAACCCCCCTACTCCTGGCCCCAGACCTCCTCCGGCCTCATCGCCCTGGCCACAATCCTAGGCTTCGCCCTCGCCCTCCCCTTCACACCAACATCCGACCTCATCGCCGCAAAGCTCACCCGCCGCAACGCCAACATCCGCGAAGCCGAGATGCGTCTCCCCGCTCTCCTCCCGGGTGTGTTTCTCGCCCCCGCCGGTCTAATCGTCTACGGACTCACCGCCGAGAAATCACTACACTGGACGGGGTTCTTCGCGGGCGTTGCAATGGTACAGTTCGGGGCATACTTCTTCTTCACATTCACGCTGGCGTACGCGGTGGATAGCTACTTTGCAGACGTCAGCGAGATGCTGATTGCCATGAACCTGGGCAAGCAGGCGATTTCGTTTGGGATGGGCAGTTATCTGCTGGATTGGATTGTGGGGCGCGGGTATGCGGTTGTCATTGCTGGGGTGTTTTGTGCGGTTGCGGTGGTGAATAATGCGATGATTGTGCTGTTTTGGTGTGCTGGGAAGGGGATCCGGAGGGGGACGAGTCGCGGGTGGCTGGGGGGGTTGTCCAGGGGGAAGAGTGGTGTTGTTTAAAGTTCTTGAGTAGTTACAGGAGAAACATCCCGTTTGACAAAGATTGGTCCACCTTGTAGGGTTAGACTTATAGACATAAAGAACTGAGGCTATTCAATTTCCACGGTGTCTGGCCTCTGTAAGTTTACAAATGGACAGGCAAAACAATTATAGAAGAACTCTGATAGTTTCCACGCATGGAGAGTGTCATAAGTGTTGAGCTTCAGAGGCGAACTTCCCACCGAGGGACTCGCTGGATGGTATGCTCGCTGAAAAGGTGCCATACCTCCTGAGTATAGGCCTGGATGATTGCGCTTGCAGGATGCACGGGATGCTGGACAGCCACTCTGCAATGAAGCGCAGGCGTGATGTAGATTTAGGCTGTATCTACCACAGGTGAAGGTGAGTCTTGATTATTGAAATAACTTGCTGCTGCCGCACGTTCCTCTTGGGTCTGGCCTGCCTCTATTAGTAAACTCTAGACCCAGGGCGTCCATGAACATACGGGTTAGGGTTAGCCACAGGGTTAAGGGCCAGCGCGTAAATATTATAAACCGAAGAGGCGTTCGTTTTAATGCCCATACTATGGAAATAGTCCATACTATGGAAATAGTCCATTCTGACTCTGATCACTCGTATTCCGTGATTGCCAATCCAATTGTAGATCTACCCAGACGTGAATCTTTAAGATCCAGGGTTCTGAGTTATAATTCCCTTGCGTATTCTGTTACGGGGAACATTGAAGCGAGGATTACGCTCCACATTGTACCATGGACAGCAAGGATGTGACTCGTTGAATGAAACAATCGTCTTTTCTCGGTTTTCTTAACCCAGTCTGCAAGTAGGGCACGGAGGGGGAACCTGGATAGACCTACGAAATTCTTCCTGTATGGCAATTGAAAGCTTCACTTTGCAGGTCAGTGTGGTCAGTAGTAGGTTCACCGACTCTGCTTTGGTGGATCAAACTCGAGACAATCCACGGATCCATTATAGTAAATGATTTTGGTAGCAAAAGCTGTCGTTCACGATGCTAAATGCGGCCCTGATCCGATTATACTGTCTGGACTTGTCTTCTATATCGGCAAGTAAATAGATGCCCCATCTTCAGAAGGACTGTTATATCGTATCTTGTGGTTTAGTCAATGCTGCTTACCATGTGTATTGCGTGGAGCAGACCTGGCAAGGACCAGGGAGTTGACATGTTTCTGTTCTCTCGAATACGATCGGGATATATGTTTGAGGGCTGCGAGGATGCGCTGTTGTAAAGCTAGCACCGTTCATTCAGGCACTTCCAGCCATGCTAGGCAGTTGGAAATATAAGAATCCCCATAGTGAGGAGAAAACGGTGGTCTGATGGGACTAAAGAACCATATCTCGACCAACTCTTCAACTCTCCCCTAGTCTTGTCACGCCAACAAGCCCTGAGGCCGCTGGACTGAGACCCTGGACACGTTTGTCTGGGTTCACTTGGTTGTACGCTTTGATCGAATACTGACGCCTGCGAACACCGCTGTTCCAGTACTGAAAGTATCATGCAGACCGGAGATGGAGTCTATTCAGCCAGGCGTGTCTGGCATGATTTTTATGGCCAGCGACGTTCTTCATGACTCTCGTCGGAGATGATGCGATACCATCACTGGTAGACTAGCAAACAGGAAGTGCATGGAACAGTGGACAAGACCAGCTAGTCCACCAAATCACCAACCGGAGTGGTCACTTTCCATGGCCATGGTAGAAGATCAATTCGTTGTTGAAGTTATTGACATGCAACTTCTCAGGACTTCACCTCAACGCCAATAGAGACGGCTATAAATCTTCGGAGATGTTACCCATTGGCTGCCGTTTCAGCATGGCCTTTCAGATATCTTTAGAATCAGGAGCAGGCGCAGGGGCAGGGGTTTCCTCCTCCGCGGAAGGGGCCTGGCTAACTTATGGTTGGCTTGGGCGTATGGGAGCTGTGTGTGGCAGATGGTGTGCTACGTTGTGTATAGGCCGCCCCAAACTGGTCGAGGTCGTCCACAGTCATGCCAAACACATCATCATCACGTAGACCCCCAACAGGGATCACAGGCGCGACGGGTGCCGTATCACCCCCGACGTACTGTGGCGGCATGGCAGCGATTCGTTGCGGCTTGTTCGGGATACCACCCTTCTTCTTAACCAGGCCCGCGAGACAGAGTATAGACTTACATCACTTCCCTCCGCGGAGGGCTCCTCTTCCTCTTCAGAGAGGAGGGGGGGGGGGGGGGGAACGGCTCATGCCCGCGAGGGCAGCGAAGAGGGCATCAGCGGCGGCGGAGGCGCGGTTGAGGGCCCGGAGGCCAGCAGAGGCAGACATTTTTCAAAGTATTCTGCGAAGAGACTATATCAGCTAAAGACTCGCGGATATATGAAACCCGCGAGAGGGGAATCCTACCAAGTGGAAAATTTTGAAGACTTGAAGAAGGAAAGTCCTGGAGAGGAGACCTATCTTATATACACGTTTCTGCCCAATCCCCCAGAGATGGAGGATGAAGTCGTAGATGCATCATTCGGCAGCGATAAGTTTATATTCGACAGCATGCCGTTTGCAAGAATTGCAAGAGAATAATATGGTAAAGGGCAGCCATCTGTCTCATCTTCGTCTTGGGCCACTTGACTAGCGTTCATCGACCATGCTGCCAGTACTTAGTGCCTGGTGTTCTTGTAATCTTGTCGGATGGTTGTCTACTCATGGATAATATTACAGGCAAGGCCAGAGTAAGTACTGCCCGCGTCGTACAGACAGTCGATGAGTTAATCAGGGCCAAGAATGACACCGACAGACTCGCGATACTGCACCCATTCGAACTAGATACCGCGAGCTGACCGTAGCTCGGTTCATCAGAATACAATGCGTGTCAAGTAGTCTGCCCTGGATCCAAAAAACGACCCTGTAGTGAACGTGAGAATGTCGCATATTATCCAAGCAGCGATGATACTCAATAACCAGTAGTTGCGGGCACTTGAAAGCCAGCGGCTCGGAGGTGGACTCAGACAACCGTCAGCCTTCATTTTACATAGATTGTCGTTCATTGCATAAGGATACAGGAGTATCGATGTGGCGACAATTGTAGAGACATGCCTGGTCCTGGGATCCCACGACTGCCTTGAAGTAAATGCTGTTGTGGACAAATACTGGGGTTTCGGACGCTGTTTCTGCACCGTCGTCGGGATTCGAAAACGGTGACCGCGGAGTTCTGTATAATGCCGAGTGGGACATTCGTGAAATTTATAGACCAAGTAAGCCCTAAGTCCATAGCTGCTTCATTGCCGCGTCGAATGCTTGTCGACATGAAGCGGCTTGCTGTAGCAGAGCACTACAGATTTCAAGATGATAAAAATCAGCGTCAGGTAATCGACATAGCTGTGTAAATGCTTCCTCTCATCAGTTGATCTACAAAAGTAGATTTTGCGATGCGTATACATTAGCCCTAATAAGTCGTTATCCATTGAAGCCCTGCGGAACAGGGACAGTTTCAGTAGTCAGGAATAGGCGAAGCTGCAGGAGACAAGAAGTCCCATATTGAAGACTGTTGGGCACTGGGATAATCAGGTACCCGGCGTCCGCATCCGCATCGAGTCTGGCACTGGGCCAAGTGCATCTGCTCCGTTGTCAAGACTGCTTTATGAAGTTCCCGTTCTGTTGCGTCTGGGGGTACCGGTATGGCCAAAAAGGAATTGGTCCCTTTTGATCTACCACAACTCCGTCCTCTCGAACTCGATGTCCAGGTAGCAATGCCCCATTGTCGTCATAGCCGGCAGTTTGAAAGTGACTCTGTCCATGCCAGATGGAGGTTTGCATGCCGCTCTGAATCGAAGTTGAGTAGTATAGATGACTCTCTTTCCCAAGAAACAGGGAAACTGCCTGTCAAACAGAATCTCCAGCCACTTGGGTCTTCGGCAAGACCAAAGACAAGAAGCTACCCTCGCTGCCAGTGTAGGAACGGTGGTAGATCGGAGCGAGGACACCAGGCAGAACGTCATTGGCGTTGGTTTCATCCAGCAGCCATCGGCTCTCTGCGTTGAGTTTATACAGAGATCCAGCAGTTCTGGTTTTGGAATTGGCAGAGATATCTTTGTATCTGCTAGTCAGTCGAAACGCACATGCGGCGCTTCTTCTCACCGCTACATTGTTGCGAGTCACCGGGAGAAGGCAATGCAAGTCCACTCGACTGGTCACCTCATCAATATCCGAGAGCTCCCTGCTTAAAAGATTCGCCCATACCCCTCCATCAGTTGCCCTGCTTCATATCACCAGTATAGCCTCATCCCGTAACCAGTCTGTCTGGGATGGATGCCTCCATATCCATCAAACGACAGGGTGCAGACCAAGAAGCCAACGTAGTAGCATCTTGAGATCTGCCACCAACTTGGCACAGGAGCCTTGGGTATTATGGCCAAGCCATGTAAGGGAAGACTGCGTCTGCTTTTGTCCAGTCTGCACGACTATGATTGGTAAAAGGGTTGTACGACCGCATTCCGTTTCCCCTTGGTGCAGTTTCCATGGCGCTATCTCGTGGCAGCGACCAATTGTCAAGATGAGTATGGAGTTGGGAATAGAGGGAAAGTCATAGAGGTCTTCTTGATAGCAGCTGGCCACCAAGATCACGAGGTCGTAAATACCTATCATCTGGACCAACACCTTCTCATGCTTTGGCGGATTTGTGGCCAGCGTGGCATAGTGATGGTTAGCCTGTCCAAGCCCAAAATTGACCAACAGCGTCGCTTTTCAACATACCGGGCCAGCAGTGATGATGTATGCATATCCGAAGCCAGTGGACTCCCGTCCCAGTATATGGGCCAGAATGCAGCGTTGTTCCCATGTATCGGAAGAGGCTCATTCGCAGCAGAGATCTAGGCAATCTCTACCAAGAATGTCCAGGGCTATCCAATAAAGGGGAACAGTCATGGTGACTCGCTAAAGGTATTGAAGTCCTTCAATATTGCTACTCAGGTGAGATTCAGACATTCCTCTCTCTTCGCCATACCAGACCACAACACGAACAGCGTATTGCGGTTTGGCTGTAGTGATAGATCGCAAACGAGAGTCGCCATGACTTCGATGGTGGATACTGCGGATATCAAACCCTATATGATTGAGGGAGTATCAGAGCAATACGAGTGGCCAGCATCTGCTAATACATGCGCACATGAAGCACATTTCATCTGCCATCTCGGTTCTGTGTCTGATTCCATACACGATAGCCAGATCTTTGAGGGAAAAGGCACAACACCACATCCTGCACTAGACCCTGCAAAGAGTCTCTGCCCACGGCGTAACGAGTCCAGCGATAAGTTTCTGGTAGCTTTAGATCTGCAGCATCTAACGAGATGCTATACCGCTAGACCAAAAAGCCCTATCTCCAACAGCATCACCGTAGACAAGCTGGGTTCGAGATGGAGCATGGCATCACATAATATGCGAAGCCCGGGGCGCAGTCACTTGTTTCTAGCACGCGTCCAGTGGCTTACGCAAGTGCAGCATGTTCCACAGCTTGCTGCTTTGGGCCATGTAGGTGTTCAGCTCCTGTCCACGGGACAATTCCTGATGACAGCACTTGGGTAATGTGGATTGTCAACCACGAACCATCGGGGTGTTTAGCAAAGCGGGCTACGCTCACTCCCTGACTATCATAGCTGCAGGTTTCGGATCGAAAGGGTGCCCGGAAGCAATGTTGGATTGGGGTTTACGGTGGACGACACCTCCCTAAACACTGACGTTGCAAACAGGGTTCCCAGTCTGTATCTACCATTGCATCTGCACAACTACACCGCGAGGCACCGCAGTCAGTTCTCGAACATCGCGGCTCTATTCCCGGTGCATAGAAAAAGCTTCGGAAGTCATCCAAGTCGCCAGGGTCTGCTGAAATTTCCGAATTCCATACGCGTTTCCAGTGTCATCGAAAACATCAAGTGTCAATCTTGCAGTTTGTTTCCTCCCAGATATCCAGGGAAACCCATGAGGGCGCCTTTGCGAAACTAAAGAGCCTGTCATAGATTGACGTAGCAAGAACAGGAAATCCTGCCGGAGTTCTGGCTCAAGAACACCGGCAAGCCATTTCGTATGTTGGGCAAACGATGAGAATGACAATGCTTCTTACGGCAACTCAAAAGAGTGGTGTAAAATAACGTCCACTCTCGAGCTACCTCGAATAGCTAATATGAAGGAAACAGCCGACGTGGAGTCGAGACATCGGATCTGATGCTCGTCGATGGCTAACTTGATAGCTATGGGAAAGTGTACCATGAAGCGATACCATGGACAAAATGGAATTGGCCAAGAGGAAGTAGGAGATCGGTGCATCCCAGACCTAATCGAGGACCTGGATTACTCCTTCTGTCTGCATTGCACAATGACAGATATAGAAGTGCTGGGAGAGATGAGAGTGCTGGGAGAGAAGCCTTGAGCGGGGAAAGGGGTTTATATAGATGTCGAGCTGGGCATTTGATTCACTGATATAACGAGCACGTCGCAGTTGAATTGCCAGTTACTGGTGGGGTCACCACAAACTAGATTGGATTTGGGGGATGAGATCGATGAAGCAATACGAGTTGACTGGTTAGGGTTACTGGATACGAGGAAGCCCTATGAAGCCATTCACTAACAAAGTGGTTCACCAGCAAAGTAGCTTCGTTCGCATTGAATGGAAGAAAGAAGAAACAGCAGAATGCAATTCAAGAAGAAAGAATAAACAAGTCTGGAGTTAATAAAGAATACCTGTTGAAGGTCAACAGTTATTTAATCCACCATGTCTTAACCCTGCCTACTCAGCTTGACTCTGCCCCCAGCTTGAATAATCGACACTATGAATGACTCACGCCTTTCACTAGAATCCATCAAGGGCAAGCAGCCCAGCTCTGACCCAGAACGCGAAGAGAAGCTCTTCGCCATCCTCAACAACGTGCTACAGCCAAACCAATTCCTCAACCCGACCGAGGCAGCGACGAAAATCGACGATCTGGCACCAAAGTTCCAGGAAACCGACAGGGACGATGGAAAGAGGGAGCTGGACATTGAAAACTTTATGGCGCAGCTCTGGGGCTTGCTCTTTGGGACGATGCAGTTAGTGCCTCGCGAGCATCCAGGCCAGGCGCGGGCGATTTCCCTGCTGAGTGCGCTGTGCCAGGTCGGGGGCGATTTGGGGGTCAAGGCAGAGAATGGGCCTTTGCGATGGAGACATCTGCCCTGTCTTACTCAATATCTGATACAAGATTTCTGGCGTGCGTATATACGATACTACACTATGAACCTACACTGACACTTATACAGGTTGGAGAACCTCTTTCGCCGAGCAGGAGTGGATTAACTTGAACTCCTTCGCAGCACGACTCCTGCAGAGCGGCCTCTTCGATGCGGAAAACGGGGTCTCGGACTTGGAATTGCTTGCCTCAAATCAATTCGGGAAACTAGATGGAGACTACGCGCAGGAAGATGAGGGCGATCTGGCGCTGCTAGAAGAATGGATTTCCCATGCCGGCGCGACGATACTGCAAACGGCGCGCAGGAATTCCCTCGAGGCCAATGCGACTAACCCAGGGCGCTTTACTCGGTCCAGAGAGAACGTGCTGAGCATCGCGGACTGGGAGCGCTGGCAGCGACGCCTTCTTGAGCTGGGGGTAGATGCTGATTGCGACCTCTCACCGCGTTGTCTGATGTTGGCGCACAAGATGGAGCTGCTGGAGAGATAAGAGAGCGACAATTTGTTCAACTGATTGCGGTCTTCTCGGTATTTAAAGTAAATAGGGAGTCGGAATATATTATACACAATGTCAGAGCCATCGCTCGCAACGATGGATGAAAATAGATTATACGCCGTCGAACCGGTGGATAAGAGCTATTTTCGACCAGGCTTGAATTAGACTCGTAGTCAAAGTCTGGTGGCTGATCGGAATAATCTCTGTAAAAAGGGGCAGAGACCAACCCAGGGATGGCAGGGAGATACAGGGAGCCCTCGCTGATAAGGAAATGACTGCCAACACATTGGCAATGACTCCGTTGATAACTCATCACTGCCAAGTTCTTATTATTCAATTTCCATGGCGGTCGCAGATTGTTGATGAGGTCGCCGGTCTCAGTCGGTCCACGGTGGAGCACCCAAGACAAGTGGGCGAGACAGTGCACAGTTGTCTTTGAAGACTCCAGTGAGGCGTCGGTTTCTCCAGACTGAGAAAGATCAAAGTCCGAAAGTGGACAGCCAGTCCGTCAGCGGCCAGCAGTCAGCCACAGTGGTCCAGAGTCTTGTTGGACATGCAGGGGTGCATGACTGCATGCAGGCTGTCTCAAAGACTGAAACTTGGATTCAACATCTGATTCCCCAGGTTCTGATGCGCAAGGGTGAGCAGAATTTGCCCCGATGAACGGTGAGGTCCGTCTGGATCGGCAGATCAACAAAGACCTCGAACAGGCCCTGGATCAACATCGCCTCTCGGCAATTCGATCGAACTATTGCCAGGCCAAAGTTTGATGAATATTTTGTCGTGGACGGAGTCACTGTGATAACTGATAGGTATAGAAGTGATGAATATACCGGATATACTCGAATACAACCAATCCAGCTTGGAATCCAGTGTCAGTTGCCGGGCAGGCGTTTGCCACATTTTGGATTCCAATTCCTGCTTGGATTCTTGGAAAACGGGCCAAGGACTGCCCACTCAGACAGGAGGATTGGCAGTGGACTTATCGGGCCAATCACTGCCGGCGTACCTTGACCCCGAGGAGCTCACCCACTGTTTCACTTTGATGAGGATAACTCGCATCTGATGAATGACTCGAGATGCTGCGTTCAGTTACTTGCCTCACTTCCTCTCCGTTATCAATGTGTTGCCGGGATCAGTAGAGTTGTCGCTTGTTCTGCAGTCCTTGCGGGCCCGCCCTGTGATTGGCTTCCTGATCCTGCGCCGGACGAGAATGGCCTAGCGTAGAGCCAAGTCTCAGGCACTGGCCAATGGCAGCCAGGCACAGTGGAGGGAAGCTTCCTATTCGGGCAGCCCCCTGAACGCCCTTTCCTGCAGAAAGCGGACACAAACAAAACTGCGCAAAAAAGCATCATCTTGTTTCGTCCTCCTGGTCTGCTCCATCCGGCCTTGACGGCTCCTCCGCCCATGCAGCTAACGCCCTGCTTGCGGCCTGATAGGTTAATATAAATCTAAAATAATCCAACTGGCCCAATGGCCTAATTTCCGCCAGCCAAGTGTCGTCTCGAGCTCGTCCTCGTCCTCTTCTTCCCCTTCTGTACTGTCTTTCCCCTCGTTATCTTCACCTCCGGCCTCCTCGCTGACTGGGGCTTTTCAATCCCATCCTCGTGCGCTTCGTTCGCACTTCCGTTCTTTTTTGCTCCCACGTCTTGTCCTTCTTTTGGGCCAATTGCCCCTGATTGCCTTGTTTCCTGCTGTCGTTGCCACGCTCGTTAATTCCGCCCACAGCGACCTCCCTCCTCGAAGATGACCCTCCTTAGGAACCTGGCCCTCTTCGCGGCCTGCTTTGGGCCCGCCATTGCCCAGACATGGACGCACTGCAATCCCACAAAGGAAGACTGTGAACCCAACCCAGCGCTGGGAACAAACCACACCTGGTCCTTCAACAGCACTCTCGACGAACAGATCTGGAACACCACCAATGGCGAAGTCACCTTCACCGACGAGGGCGCCGAGTTCACCGTCGCCAAGAAGCTCGACTCGCCCACCATCCAGTCCACCTTCTACATCTTCTTCGGCATCATCGAAATGCAGGTCAAGATGGCTGCAGGCCCTGGTATCGTCAGTAGTGTGGTGCTGCAGTCGGACGACCTCGACGAGATTGACTGGGAATGGGTCGGCTACAACACCTCCGAGATCCAGACAAACTACTACAGCAAGGGTGTCACCAACTACGAGAACGGCGAGTTCTTCAAGGTCGACAACGCCGACACGGAATTCCACAACTACACCACCTACTGGGACCAGGACAAGATTGAGTGGTGGGTCGACAACGAGCTCCTCCGGACCTTGACATACGATGAGACCAAGAACGGCTCCGAGAGTACCTTCCCGCAGACGCCGAGCAATGTCCGCATTGGTATCTGGCCTGCTGGTGACGCGGACAATGAGCAAGGCACGATTGATTGGGCTGGTGGTGTGGTCGACTACGATGCGGGCCCCTACACTATGGTCGTCAAGGATGTGCGCGTCCACGACTTCCACACCGGCAAGGAGTATGAATATGGGGACAAGTCTGGCACATGGGAGAGCATCAATGTTATCGAGTAAGTTACCAAGCTTACTACTGCTTTTGGCTGGGTTGCTTGCTGTACTAACAACCATCAGAGGTAACTCCACTGCGCTCGAGGAGATCAACAAGCCACCACCAAAGTCGCTCAACGAGAAATGGAACGACCTGCCTTCTGGCGCCAAAGCCGGTGTCTACATTGGCGCTGCCGCCGCCGGGTCTATCCTGCTGGCCTTGTTCATCTTCTTCTACATCCGCCAACGCAGACAGGGCCGTCTCGAGCACGCCCTCGGAGAGACCAAGTTCAACAACGAGCGCAACGAGATGAACAACTTCCAGAACAACTGGAAGCAGAGTGAATGGAAGCACGGGGGTTACCAGCCTGTTCAGTAGGACTAGCATCATCCCTTGCTGTGTACACCCACGAAACAAAACGAATCACCCATCACCCTTCTCCTCTCGATGACCTCCAAGACATTCTCGCTCTCCCTCACCGACGTCAGGTTCGACCAGCCTCCACCTGCAAGGGCCTCGCCGTCTTCAACATGAAGCTCAATCTCCCCTGCGCCAGCTTGCAGGCGAACCTTGCGTAGGGCTGCTCCCACTGCCCGCCTCAACCGCCTGGTTGAACCCGACATCGCATCACGACTCCCTCGCCTTCTCTCTCTCTCCCGCATCTCTCTTCCTCTATCGGCGCAATCTTTCCACATCTCAATCTCCTTGTTCATGTTTATATCATATTGCCATCTTCCCATCGGGTTTGGTTCACGACTGCTGCTGCTGCTGTTTGGTTTTCTTTCTTCTCTGTACATACCCTTTCCAACTTGTATGCCTTTTTCCTGGTGGGCCTCATACACCCGCAGTCTCAAGGCAGTGAGCACAGCATAGTTGTGTGGACGCGCCGGTTGTTTCGTGTACCTTTGTACCTGTATAACTAGATCTCACTCGCGCTCCTGCTAAGAAAACTTGATCTGTTCGCGTATGCAAGGCGTCTAGGATTCCAATGCATATAATCGCTCGCTTCATTGGTCATTACCATTAAAACTTCCCAACTACCCAAGCACCTATTATCTCCAACTAGACTAGTACCTATTATTTATACCTCCTCAAGCACAACATGCCCCGGCGACGCCGGCCCCTCCCCACTCTCCCAAACAACCGCCTCCTCCCCCAATTCAAACTCAATCACCCCACCATCCTGCATAACATCCCCATGGTCAAACCAATTCCGATCCCAGACCTCCCCATTAATCTTCACGGTCTGCACATAGTGTCCCCTCTCCAACCCCTCTGCCCGAATCCGCAGCGTGTTGTTCCCGTTAATCGTCATGTTTAGGTCGCTGAACCAGGGCGATCCGAGGAGGTAGGTCCGTGTTGTTACGAGCGGGTACACGCCCAGCATGGACCACAGGAGCCAGGTATTCATTGCGCCTGCGTCGGAGTTTCCCGGGATGCCGTAGGCGGCGTCGTGGAAGCTTTTTCACATTAAGTAAGTAATTGGGGTTGATGAAATGCTTTGTTTCCTTGAGTGGTTGGGTGGTGGGTGGTGGGTGGTGGACTTACTATTGAAGAGCGAGCTCTCTAGTTCGCTGGACGCTCTTGTGCTGCTTGTTTAGGAAATGGTAGAGATACGGCGTGGCGAAGTCGGGTTCGTTTCTTGTGGATATATCAGTTAGTGTTTATGTTGTACCGTACGTTTGGGAGGACGCACCCGATGTTCATGAGGGTTGTTATGCCTGCGCCGTTGGCGCCGAGCTCTTGGACTGAGGTGTTGGGTTTGAACTTTTGGGGTTAGTTTACGGATTATTCAAGTGGGTATTGGGAAGAGTACCATCAGGTCTAGTCTGGCTTCGAATGTTTCTGGTCCGCCCATGAGGTCGATTAGGGTTTCTGTATCGTGGGGGACGACGAAGGAGTATTCTACTGCGGTTAGTATCATGGTGGTGAGAAAGTATAGAGCACTGACCCCAAGGCGTCCCTTCATAGCTTAAATCAGCCCAGTTACAACCATAGCAATACAGCGGATCATATCCTGAATTATTAAACGACCCGTTCGAGAACTTCGGCGCCAAAAACCCCGTGAAGTTCAAACTTTCCACATCCCGATTCCAAAGCTTCTGCCACCCCGCTGACCGACGCAGGTATTTCTCCTGGTCCTCGGGCTTCTCGCCAGCTGCGACCTGGCTAATGGCAAAGTCATTAAAACTGTACTCCACCGTCCGTGAGATGCACCGCGTGTTTCGGTCCTGGGAGACATAGCCTAGTTCTAGCCAGTCGGTGAGCGCGCCACGGCCTTCTTTGGTGCTTGCGGTGAGATCTAGTGGGTCGCGGGTGTTGTATGGGACGACCTCTGCGTCCGTCTTCATCGCTGCGTAGCCCTCGGTCCAGTTGATGGCCCCGCGTAGTCCTTTCACGTATGCGTCTGCGAGGACGTTGTCGGCGTTTGAGCCTCCCTGTACAATTCCATTCCAGTTTCCAGAGCGTCCATCGGGAAGGAATCCTGAGTGTCTGATAGAGCGTTAGCACTTGTTGGCCTCGTTCGGTTGCAAAACCTTACTTCCATATGTCGATCAGCGAACGGATCATCGACTCGTAGTAAGCGGGCTGGAAGATGTGGTAGAAGCTGACTGTGCAGCGGAATATATCCCCTGTTTAATGTTAGTAACTAAAAGACCCTTGTACCTATAACGGCAACTGACACATTGTGTAGAAATCATCCCACGACGGCTCGTCTGATTCCCAGAGCGGGTTCTCGCCAGTCCTGTCAGAGGGCATCAAATGGATGAAATAGAGAGAGCTGTATAGCAGTCGGATATGAGTCAAATTTGCAGTCTCGTCGAGCGGCACCTGGATTTTACTAAAAACATCCTTGTTCCACTCTTGTACCGCCGCATCTACCGTGTCATTGAGCTTCCATGACGGGATCTCGCTGCCGATATACGCCCGTGCCTTCTCGGTAGAGATCATAGAAATGCCTATTCTCGAAGAAATGCTCGATTCTTCATCTGAGTTCCAACTGAAAATTGCACCAACGCGGTCGTTCATCGGGCCAGACTTTGCAGACTCGCTCTGGTTACCATAGATTGGGAAGCTAGGCTGTCCATTTGAAAGACCTTGAAAGCCTCGCATAGGATCCGTATTTGGTCCTTTGAAGATTTGAGCATTTTGCGGTTTCGTCTCGAACTCCCCATAAAAGTAGACGGTAAACGGGGCCCCTAGAGCGATTGAGTATAAGTCTTTTCCTTGGGAATAGGAGTATGTTTACCATTGTTCCACCCTCCCACATAGGTTCCATAGCCAGAATAAGACTGTCCATCCTCATGAAGCTGGACCTCTCCGGCAATGTAATACTGGCCGTTGGAATCGGTTGGTGCTCCTGGAAGATACTATGCTGGTTAGCTCCAGTATCTGAAATGAAGCCAAAAGCGTACATGAGACACATCAACCAGCACATGTTTCTCTCCAGCAGGGAAATTATACTGAATGATTCCGGCATGGCGAGAAGCTGAGAGTTCTATTTCAACGCCACTTTGCAGCTGCGTCTTGTAGTATCCTACGCTGGCTTTATCTTGGCCAACCTAAGCAGTATAAGTAAGTAAAAACAATGGAGACTACGTGGATAATACCCTCGGTTGGTTATATGTCAAATTGTCCAGTATATTCACCGGCGGATCGATCGACGTCAAGGGCATTTGTGCAACAAGGCCGTATTTGGGGGCGCCTCCAGTCCCGCTTTCATGCATCATTGCTAGAACCAATGTTACAACAAGCTGCCCATTGCAGATCAGGAAACATACTTATTGCGGTCACGTTCCCATCTGGAGTCCAGCCTCCGTTCAACACAGCCATGCTCCAGTTCGCTGCAGTGCTGTCGATTCCGACCTTGACTACTCCGAAGGGGCGAGCACCACCAATGAAGATGTCGCCTCCTCCATATCCTTGACCAGGAAATGGCCCTTCGGACCCAATAAAGGGATTCACATATTGAGAATAGTCGACTTCGGTAGCGACTGCTATACCAAAGCTCAAAAGGCTGGCGCTACTAACAAAAGAAGTCAGAAACCGCATAGTTGGGTTTGTTTGAGGAAGAAATGCTGCTCACCCCAACAAAGGAGGGGCATAATATTTAAATATGTTTAGATTCCAACTCCTCACTGCAACGGCACCTTCCCCTCAGCATCAATACAACGTCGGCGATTTGGTTCTTGGTAGAATGCGGAGTGACCAAACAGAAGAAGCAATTTGGGCGATCAACATACTAGTCGGCGGAACTTTCCCGTTACGCGAGTTAATCCGGCGCTCGGAACAGCCGCACAGCAACACAATCGAAAATTGCTCCCATCAATTTTGTCCCGCATTGAGCAGAACGACCGATCAAGCCTCGAACCCACCCCGGTTTCCTCTCCATTTCCCTTTCTACCTCCTCTATCCTGATCCGATCCAAGATGGTTGTCGCTTTCGACAAGTGTGACACACGGCCGGCCAACATCGAGGCCATCCTCAACGGCCTCGACCGGTATAACCCCGAGACAACCACAGTATTCCAGGACTACGTGGTTCAACAGTGCGAGGACCGGTCATTCGACTGCTATGCCAACCTTGCTCTTCTGAAGCTGTGAGTGCGATCTTGACACAATTCCAGTTATTACGCCCGCAATCCATTCTGGAATGCTGTTGTTGGCTTTATATGATGTAGAAATCTTACTTTATTATCACGTTTCCTATTACCTGAGACCCAAATTTGGGCATGTTGAGCAATGTTTCTCTGAAAGAAAGCCACTTTGAATCTCATTATTTTGACCTCAATTTGTGCTTCGCGCCTGCTAATCAACCGTCCGGTACAGCTACCAATTTAACCCCCACCTCCTCCAACCAGAGACCGTGACCAACGTCCTCGTCAAGGCTCTCACCGTCTTTCCATCTCCCGCTTTCTCACTCTGCCTCGCTCTTCTTCCCGCCTACACCCAGCCCTTCCCCAAGACCGAGGCCGAGGCCCAGGCCGCACAGACATCCGACTTCGTTGAATCCGTTCAGAAGCTCGCTCATCTATCTTCTCTCCTCGAGTCCGCTCAATATGCTCAGTTCTGGTCAACGCTGAACTCCGATGATCTGTACGCAGATCTTGTTGCCGACGTTGCCGGCTTCGAGGAGCTCGTCCGCATCCGCATTGCCGTTGAGGTCGGCAAAGCCTTCCGTGAGATCAACGTTGAGGTCCTAGAGCAATGGCTTGACATCCGGAACCGCGAGGCTCTCGAGAAGTTCGTTACCGAGGTGTGCACCTGGGAGGTGGAGAAGTCTGGCTCGAGCACCGTCATCAAGGTGCCCACGAACAAGGAGAACGAGGCTCGCAGTGAAGTCAAGAGCGAGCGTGTTGGTGTCGATATGTTCGGCCGCGTCATCCGGAGAGGGTTCGAGCAGGCTGCATAAGCCAATGAAACGAATTTCTGTTTCCTGTTTTCAAAATAATGAGTAAGGTCTTGTGGAGATCTTGACTTGTATCAGTCGATGAAGACCAGAACATGGACTTCTATCCAGTCCGCATTGACGAGATGAGTTCAAGCCTAAAATGATGATGACGGGGATAGACCAGCATGGGGAGGACTGGGAAGTCAGGACTGGCGCATTTGGCGTTGTGAATTTGCTTCTCATCATTTCATCATTCTATACCTAGGACAACCCGATTTTCCTCTGCCCTGTATCCACTACATACTAGATCCCGAGAGATATCCTGTCTGAACATATCAGCGAATGACACCCGCTGAACGATTCAAAAATACAATTTTGATAGCAAACACTCAACAAAGCAAACCAGTAATCCAAGTAGTTGGAACAAAACCATGTCTATATTCGTCATCAACATAAGGACATAACCGCGTAGTAACTCTACAACATCTTATCTATTTAGCAGCCTCCTCCCACTGCACACCAGCCCATTCCTCCCTATACCCAACAGCACCAACTTCTGCAGGTCCACAGTTCTTATTACAAACCCCCATAATGATAGTGCCCCATTCCATCCCCGCATCATCCTTACCAAGCCCAACGCCCTCTCTCCCATCCTCAAGAATGCTAATCGTATGTGGCACAAGCTGCAACTCAAATACCCTCTCACACCCACAGGACTCACACCGCGGCATGTGACTCCCGCCACTCGGCGCTGTCGACACACCACCAAGCTTTGCAAAAGCGGACTCGTGAAGTCGTTTCCCAACAACATCAGTGTGCGAATACAAAACAGGTGTACCGCGGAATTCGTATCGTAGCACTTGCTCAGGGTTGTGGGCAAGCCGGGTGGAGAACTTGAGGAATGCCTTGTCGAGCTCGGACTCGAAGGCATCTTTGACGTCTGCGCCGCCGGCCCCGCCCTCGGCATCCTCCGTTTCGATTGTGACGTTTTCGGGGATCTTGGGCGTTGGTGCGCGTGAGAGGGTTTCACCCTCAGCATCGATGTAGAAGTTTGTAAAGGGTTCCGGGAACTCTGAGCGTTCTGGCCAGGGGACGGGAGGGCCTGATGGTTCGGGGGACTGGGTAGATAGTGCGGGGTCGGAGACACGAACTTTGTCGGCGAATGTTTCGGCTAGGGCATTGGGAGTTGAGTCGTCTTGAGATTTCGTAGGCGAGTTGTTGGCTGGTGCTGGCGCTGGCGCGGGAGCTGGGCTAGGAACAGGGGCAGCGAATGGGTTGCTTGGTTGGCTGGACGCGGGCTTCGACGAGAAGGGGTTTGCGTTCGCGGAGACACTGTTCACAAGGCTTGTGCCTCCGAACAGACTCGCACCAAGATCCGGCTTGGGGGCTTGAGGTTTTTCCACCTCTTTCTTCTCGGGCTCCTGCTTTTCGGCCTTCTGCGGGGGCTGGTGGCTCTTGTGTCTTCTCGTCGCGCGCATGGCTCGGATACTGCCTGGCTTGCGGCTACATGCTTTTCGCGGGCAGGAGAAAATGTATAGTCGCCGGTCGGCATCAGGGAAGTGCTCGTATAGCTCGCCGTCGAGCTCGAGGAGAAGCAGCATTGGGCGGTTGCACACTTTGCATTTGGCGAAATCACCGGGAGGCGGGGTAGAGTTGTCAATCCATGTCTGGATTGAAACGGGTCAGCATGGGCCACTTCAAGAGATGTTTGACAGGTCGCGCCCAACATACTGGCCAACCACCTATGTGGGTAACAGAATCCTCAATGATTTCCTCCGAGGCGTATCCGAGCACGACTCCGGTCTCAGTATAGTCCCCCTCATCCTCGAAGCCGGAAGAGTCGCTATCGTAGGGATCCATGACGGCGACAGTATAACAGTGGGTAATAAACAGACAACTCAAACTGAGTCTTTCAAAATTAATGACAGAGAATCTCCCTCCGCGGCCGATGCAGTGTAAACGTGGTGGTAGTTATCTTTGCTGTTGTATAGACGAAAAAAATTTAAAGATTTGGGCGATAAGCGATAGGTACAACACTAGTCCCATCTTGGACTAGCGTATGGTGACAGCTCCAGCGGCCTGATACAAGCGTCGAGCTCACCTCATCAACAACACCTCCGTCATCCCCCGCAATTTTTCTCATCAAGCGAATGCGTCAATAAACTTAATAGAAACCTATCTATATATACTATATCCTATTTCTTGGACTGAAGGCCAGTGTCCACCTCCGGAAGTCGGAAACCGTGACTCGGTACCACAGCCGGACTAGCAATCACGCTAGGCTCAAGCTCCCATATTCTCCATCATGGAGTTCTTCTCCAGACGTAGTAGTCTGAAATGGTTTCTATGGGTGTGGGCTCTTTTATATACCACATCTCTTGCATTCATCCCCATCCCCAAACTTGGCCGTACAAAGACGCCCCTTTCCCAAGCAGAGCCGCGAGCAAAACAGGTTGCAATAATCGGTAAGATCTTCCGCCGTATAGAAACTCGACTGTGCATTGATATTTTTGATAGGAGCTGGCGCAGCTGGGGCGTCTACTGCGTATTCACTACGCAAATACGCGGATGAAAATGGAATCGCTGTCAATATTACGGTCCTTGAGCGCTCTTCTTATGTTGGAGGCCGCTCAACGACGGTCAATGTGTTTGATGACCCAACATATCCAATTGAGCTGGGTGCATCCATTTTCGTCGAGGTCAACTACAACTTAGTCAATGCGTCAAAGGAGCTTGGTCTCAATATCAGGGGCGCCAGCTATGAGCGTCCTAAAGAGAGTGAAACCCTTGGCGTCTGGGATGGAAAGAGCTTCGTTTTTGTAATGGAGGATTCTGGAAGCTGGTGGGATATTGCCAAAATCATCTGGCGCTATGGTTTGGCTCCCCTCCGGACCCAGAACCTGATGAAGAGTACCGTCAACAAGTTCCTCCAGCTCTATAAAGAGCCACTTTTCCCATTCAAGTCCCTTACTGCTGCTGCTGCCTCAGTAGGTTTATTGGACGCCACATCCACACCCGGGGCCACATTCTTGGAGAGGAACAACGTGTCGCCGGACTTCTCTCGAGAAGTAATCCAGGCAAGTACGCGGGTCAACTACGGGCAGAATCTACCTCTAATTCACGGCCTTGAATCAATGGTCTGCATGGCCACTGAAGGTGCTGTGTCTGTCGACGGAGGGAACTGGCGAATCTTCGATGGGATGCTCAAAGCTGCGCGTGCGGATTTGCGACTCAATAACACCGTAACGTCTATCAATCGGGGCAAAGACAGCGCCATTTCTCTAGACTTCAAAGATGAGCATGTCCAACAAAGAGCCGAATTCGATGAAGTCGTTATCGCTGGGCCCTACCAGTATTCTGGAATCACCATCTCCCCACCTCCCGAACAAACCCCAGACACCATTCCGTTTCACACTCTCTACGTAACCCTCTTCTCTTCACCACATCGCCTATCTTGGAAATACTTCAATCTCAAGGGCCCCTCCGACATTCCTCCCGAAACAATCCTCACCACCCTACCACGTGGAACAGACCTCGGAGACACCGAGGAAGGCGTTGGCCCTGCCGGGGTCTGGAGTATCAGCACCCTCCGCACCGTCACCAAACCTTCGACTTCCCCTGAGGAGCTAGAGGTGCAACACTACGTTTACAAGATCTTCTCGCCCGAGCGCCCTACTGCCCAATTCATGCGAGACATACTAGGCATCGAGCAACCAGACCAGGAATCAGCCTCCTCAGTATCAGCTGGCAGTATCGACGACCTCAGGAAGGAAGATGTAAGCTGGTACCACGAGAAAACATGGCATCCCTATCCGTTCTTGTATCCGCGCGTAACATTCGAAGACCCGATTCTAGCCCCTGGCATTTGGTATACCGGTGGAATCGAGAGTTTCATTTCGACGATGGAGACAAGCGCGCTTATGGGGAAGAACGTGGCGGCATTGATTTCAAACTCGTGGCTCGACCAGAATGAGGATGGCGAGATTCGGGGTTTGGATGATTCTCCTGTTGTGGAAGAGGATGGGAGAGCTGAGCTTTGACAGTACAGCGCTATCCCGTCTCGGGAACAACAGCATCGGCTTCGTGATTTTAACGTTAATGGAGTACGGCATTATTCTTGACAATTATTGATGGGACATAGCAAAGATGGTAAGATGGCATATATTGACCATGTCAATTGGTTCATCATATCATTAATATGTAAAATGTAACTAACTGCCGGTTGATGAAGGCAGAACGGCACTGAAGCGAGAAAAAAAGGCGGTTAAAGCCTTTTGAAAAGGGTAAACTTTTCCTGTTGAAGAAGGTGTTGAAGAAGCCATCCCAGTGCTATGTTTATTCACTTGCTCATGCATATCCATATCCCGTGACCCGCGTAAGGTTGAAAAAGCAGACCCGTAAACCCCAAAGAACGCACTCCGCGACCCGATTTTATGCGCAATGATGTTGAACTCGTACAAGAGTAATGTAACAAAAACAAAAGAAAGTAAAAGAAAAGAAAATTGGTATCATATCCAAGAGTATGGGGTTAGAGCCCAATATTTGCCCATTTAAACGGGGAGAGGGAAAGAGCTGGCCCATTGCGCGACCTCCTTGCGCAGGTTGAGGATCTCAGGGACGGTCTCGGAAGCGACCTTGGCCCTGAAGTCCTTAAGCTTGTTGGCTTCCTTGGGAAGCTCAGCCTGGACAGACTTGCAGATGTTGATCGACTGGTCGATGTAGTGAGCGATGCGTTTGAAGTCCTCCGCACCCATGCCACGGCTAGTCATGGCGGGGGCACCGATACGGATACCGCAAGGGGTAAGGGCAGACTTGTCACCGGGGATGGAGTTCTTGTTGCAAGCAATGTTGATCTGCTCAAGAACGGCCTCGACACGAGCGCCGTCCAGAGACTTGGGGCGAAGGTCCAAGAGGACCATGTGGCTGTCGGTACCGTCGGAGACGAGCTTGTGGCCCAAGTTCTTGAACTCTTCCTCAAGGGCCTTGGCGTTCTTGATCACCTGCTCCTGGTACTGCTTGAACTCAGGGGTGGCAGCGTACTTGAGCGCAACAGAGAGAGCGGTGATGGTGTGGTTGTGAGGACCACCCTGGTGGCCAGGGAAAACAGAGAAGTTAATGGGACCCTCAAGGTCATACAAGATGTCCTTGCCAGTCTTGGGGTCGGTGTTGCGGACACCCTTGCGGAAGAAGATCATGGCACCACGGGGACCACGAAGAGACTTGTGGGTAGTGGTGGTGACAACATCGGCGTACTCGAAGGGAGAGGGGATGACGCCAGCAGCAATCAGACCAGAGATGTGAGCCATGTCCACAATGAGGTAGGCTCCGACCTTGTCGGCGATCTTGCGCATGCGGGCATAGTCAATCAGACGGCAGTAGGCGGAAGTACCAGCGACCAAGCACTTGG